AACTGACCTACTCTTTTACCAATATTTTTGACACCGTTCCAAATTCCTCTTCCGACAGATTTTATTCCATTCCATATACCTCTTCCAACATTTCGAAAGAAGTTTCCTATCTTACTGAAGAAACCCATTTTACTATATGTAAAAATCTAATGTCCGCCTAGTCTCTTACGTTTCCTGTTGAGTTCCATAGCATTCTTTAACTGGAGCTCATACATTCTGTTTCTCCTCTGGTAGAAAACATATTCTGGGTCAACTCCTGTGTTCGCGTCATCTGCATAAAGTTGTTTATATCCCACTTCAGGGTTTGTATAAAACTCTTTCCATCTCATATTTGCATACCATGGTGGCAAACCTAACGCAGCGTCATTTGACATGGCAGTTTGCATTTGTACATCTGTTGGCACTTGACCATAGTTTGCCATTGCAGTTTGTATTCTAACTTCATTTGGAATATTCTCTGGGTTTGGTTGTCCAGGTTGCTGTGCATTCGCTAAGTTCTGTGCGTCCATTTAATATTAGATAAAAATATCTCTTACGAGTACATATACTGAACATTTGCAGGCATTGGTTCATCTTCATATTCTCTGTACTTTTCTGCCACGTCAAATAAATAAATGACACAATGGAAAAAACCTAAAACTAACAATCCGATTTCAAACCACATTTACTTACTAATAAAATTTCTTTGTTATGACACTTTCTCCAGTTTATAGGACCTCTCTCATATTCTATCTTGTCATATCTAAACTCATAGTCGTTTATATCTTCTAGCCATCTCATAACGGTTTCCAAACCACTTTTATCGGATGTAAAGTAAAAGCATGGATGGTTATGTAAAACGTCTAAAGTTTCTAAAGAGTCTCTCAAAGTCCAGTCTACTTGGTATTGAAAATCCCATGTGTTATAGAACGGCGGGTCCACTATAAAGAAAACATTTTCCTTGTCTTTATATTTTTCATACAACTCTGTCCAATGACATCTCACAAACTCTATACCCTCAATATATTTTTCTATGTCCTCTTTGAAAACATTTGTATAGTTAAGATATAAAACTTTTGACATAAGTGTTTCAATGTCATGAACTCTTATAGCACCACTATATAATAGTCTAGCAGATATACTATTCCAGTCTATATATTCTGCTTTTTTCAAAACCTCTCTCACAATATTTTTCTTATCTAATGGTATACGTTCCATCTTACCTATAGGTATCTTTTCTTTTAACTCTTTCAATATATTGTTTGTGTCTGGAATATGTTTGAGACGGTCCATATAGTTGTCGAAGTCATTGCATATAATCTTTGAGTCTGGGAATATTGTATGACATAAATGGGATATATAGAAACTTCCACCGAACAAATCTACAAATGTTAGACCATTCGGTAGTTTCTTAAGTTCTCTCAATATAATATCTTTACATTTACTCTTATTTCCAAAGAACGGTAACGGCGGTTTTGTAAAATTCATTTATATATAATAATAAAAATGTTTTTACCCGAAAAGTGACAGAAAAGTGACAAAACATGAAAACATATATAATTTATGAAAAGCGACACATTATATAATGTTTTCGACCCAGAAGAAGGCTTCTCCCCAGAAGCAATGGAGGAAGAAGAAGAGTCCTCCGAATTCACACCAGAAGACTAACAATTTTCCGAATAAAAACTTCATTTATACTAAACATCTTCGGGGCTAGAGGGCGCAACGCGCCTGGAAGCCCCACTTACCTGACCTAAATTCTATACTTGCAGTCTGAATGTGTTGTAATGGTAGTAAGAATGGGCTAGCTCAAAGCAACTGCTCAAAACTTTCCCGCCAAAAACGCAAAAGTGTCATTTCTGCATGGAAGACCATAGCTGGAGTCACGCTCAACCATCCCCTTGCTGGTATGATGTGCAGCCTTTGTTCTGACCAATCATAGTGCTGCTTCATCCATACCAGCAAGTGGTTTCAGCATCAGACCTCCGCTTGGTCTTCCATAAGAGCCCTGCAAATCAGAAGCACAGTAATTATGCAGCCTAGTTGCTAGGGTATAGTAGCTAGGCCGCATAATTATTGTGCTTCTAGCGATATTAGTTATACGTTATTGCACGCATTCACTTATACTACCACTCTCTCGCTCCTAAAAAGTCAGATACTTCGTAATTACTAGAATAGGGCCAAGTTCTTCCGAGGCCTCTCATTGCATGAGAGACTTCGGAAGAGCTTGGCCCTAAAGCATCTCACTACGGCTCCCTGGTCTACAAAAGGCTAAAGAAACTACAATTTGAGTAGAGTCCTTCCGAAGTCTCCCATTCAATGAGAGGCCTCGGAGGAATTCTACTCCAAGGTAATGCGCTTGTAGTTTCTGACTCTCTATTGAACGAAAAATGTAAATTTACTCGAAAAGAGCAAAAGTTCTTCCGAGGCCTCTCATTGAATGAGAGACTTCGGAAGAACTTTGTTCTAGTGTAATGGGTGTATATTCTTGGGTCCAGGGAGAGCGAGAGAACTGGTTTGTAATTCGTTTTTGCTGAAGTTTTCCGGATTTCCTTCCTCAATTGAGAGAAATCCGGAAAACTTCAGCATGAGTTAATTGTGGTGTAACTCTCTGGGTATTTACCGGCCAGAGAGCGAGTAAAATATTAGAGAGCGCATAGTCTCAGCATAGGTATGCGCACTATAAATATACGTTATTTTTTACTTTCGTATGAAGAAATAGCTTCTCATTTTTATGCTTCTATATACTTTGTTACTAAGTAAATCGCCTATTTTCTTATTAAAGCCTAATTTTTCCACGTGATTAAGAATCTCTGCATCCAAAAAATTCGTTTTCTGCTTTCAGAACGCGAAAATATGCAGTATATCTAGGGCTGTACAAGATTTAAAAAACATTGCCGGGTTACCGTAGAGGCCTAAAAAAATCGCGCCTCGGCGGCAAGCCGCCTCGGCATTAAGAATGCGCATCTAAATTTTTATATGTCCTTCTTTCTTTTATTTTTCCCTTCCCTTTCTTTTCTTTTTCTTTTTTTTCCCTCCTCTTGCTCTCATTTACCTTTTTTTCCTTTTCTCATCATTTTTCAAAATTTTAAATTTTTATCAAAAATCTTGCCTATAAAAGCAGACTATGGAACCTTTTAATGCCTCTTAATCAATATTATACAGCATAAAGCATATTAAATGAAAGTAATTACGTATAAATTTATTTTATTATCTTATTTATTAATTCTTTAGCATGTATTGTTTAATATTAACTTTTCTGTACATTAAATATGATATCTCCAAAGTATGAATGCCTTGTAACGAAACGAAAACTTAATTTTATGTTGAATATTTGTCACAAACATTAGATTATTAAAATATATGTTGGATATCCCTTAGTATGAGACTTCATGACTCTTGTAGTCTAACGTGAGCTTTGGATTGCAAGCTCTGTGGTTAACGAACATAAATTAACTGTAAAGTTTTCAAAATTTTTCATCGTTTCTATCAGCATCTATTTTTCCTTTAAAATAATATATTTGTATGAATACAATATTTAGTAATTTTTTTATTTCCCATAATTTCATTCAAAATTTCAGAAAAAATTAATTTCTATTCAATATTATTTCAGCTTCAAAACACTTCATTCTTATAGATGTTGATTCACTAAAGTGTGATACTCAATGTCTTATTTCAATGAAAATTGTTCTGCAAATTTATTTCACTTTTGACCTCACTTTTTCCGTAATTCAATTTTTTACTTTTAATATTTTAGATCTTCATAATATCATTTGAAAAATTAACCATATAAAAAAATCAAGTTATCAATTCACTTTTTCCGTAATTCAAAAATCAAAAATATAAATAATATATCTTTTTATCAAATATTATTATTATATTCTATGAAAAATGAGGTCCGGAAATTTTGCGGATTCCCGTAACTCAATTTTACGGAAAAAGTGCAGTAAACTATTCAAAATACGGAAAAATTGGTGTAAACTAATGATTTTACGGTAAAATCACGGAAAGTCCCGGAAGAATATATGTGCCTATATGAAATTATACAAAAATGAATCAAACGCATTTTAAAAGATTGTTCTTGTATTATAAATGCTATTCGCAGATTTATTAGTTGAAGAAAATTACCAAATTTTTGCCGATTTACAAAAAATGATTTACAAAGCATATTTTTATAAGGCTTTAAAAATCTTTAAAATGTGACCGGTGACGGAAATCCATGGTAACCAACCGCGGTTCCCGTTTGGAATGCCATAAGTATATCTCTAGATAAAGGGAAATCTTTCTCTTATATTTTCCAAAAAAATTGGGTTTTTCGAATTTTTGTTATCAAAATTGTTGTTTTTCTAATCAAATTTCAAAAATCAAGATTTTTTTGGAGATTTTCAGCAAAACAAAACACGGTAGATAGATGTTATTTTATGATATCTATCTGATGATGATCTCTTTTTTGATTTTTAGTAGAAATTCAAAAATTGCTTAACAAAATAATGTTGATATCCTCTTTATCTAGATGATCAAAATTCTCTCAATTTTCCACCTTTTTTGCATTGATTCTGCATGTGTTTTTCTATTGCAGGCTTTTCAAATTCAACCAGGTATAACTAGTTGCTTTATTGGATCTTTTTTATTTGGATATGATTCTGACATAATTTCCATTTCAGGCTTTCCTAATAATAAACATGAAGTGGTTAAATTTCTCTTTGACAATGTTGCAAATATTGAAGAAAGTGATTTTAGAGGTTGCACTCCACTTATTTGTGCTTCGTATAATGGCAGCACTAAAGTAGTGCAGTATCTTATATCAGTTGTAGCAAATAAAGAAGCTAAAAATCATAACGGAAATATTCCACTCATCGCATATACTTTAATTACAAGAATCGATATAGTTAAGTTACTTATAACTAATGGAGCCGACATATTGACAAAGAATAATATAGGATTGACACCATTAATTGTCGCGACATTTTCTGAAGATTTATGTGTTGTTAAATATCTAACATATAATAAAGACGCAAAGAATGTTAATAACTGCAACTTATTTTAGACATATTGATATTGTCAAATTTCTTATCTCAGTTGTTGCTGATATTGAAACAAAAGATAACAAAGGACGCACTCCACTTATGCATGCATCAATTAAAGAGCATCTTGAAATATTCAGATATCTTGTTTCTATGGGTGCAAATATCTTCACATGAAAATGGGATGGAAAAAGAAATTATAAAATACATGAATTTGCAGATATCATATAAATAAAAATAAAAAAATTACTTTTAAATTAATTATTATTGCAGTATTTAATAGAAATATAGGTTACAAAGACTATTCCTTTTTCAAAATAATTAACTAATGTATCAACTCTCACCATCAAATCTATGCTAAATTTACCTCATAATTTTTTCGAAAATGAGAACAAATAAGGTAGGTTAAAATAGTCGCTGCTAAAACTACCGTTCGTAACACTCTCAATTTTGTATTGTTACGGGCGGGAGCGCCTGTGAATTTTGCCGATTTCAAAATATATAAACTTTACATTTGTAAACTGTTTACATTTGTAAACACTTTACAACACGTAAAGTCCTCAAATTTGAGAGTGTTAATGTCAAAATTTCGTGTTACGTGTGATTTTACCTACCTTATATCTCTTAACATATCACTTTCTACCTATTTATATTCTGAACAATATATATGCAGATAAGAAAGAATATATATTGCCTTTGTTCATTGATATTTTAAATTTTCTAAATATAATATTTCTTTATTAAGGGATTAATGCATATAAAATAGCACTCAATGTATGTATTTTTTGCTAATTATTTAGAGTTCGGAGTTATAAATTTTTTTTATTTATGAAGAAATATAAATAATTTAAAAAGACTATATCAACCAACTTCAACATTGTTGGAAAATTTCAACATTATTAACAATGTTTATCAAACTTACGCTAAACAAATTTTCCTTAGTATTTGCCTAGATCAAAGGTCTTATGGATGAAAAAAATTGAGAAGAGTTAGGTGGTTGGTCAGAATCATTTGGATCTGAAACAAAATCCAAGAAATGTCTCAATTTTTAGTGAATACTGTTTTCATCAATTCATACAGTGTATCATTAAAATATTTGGAATATTTATTGTTTCTGAATGATAAAAATCAATAAAACGATATCGTTTATTTGAAAAATTGAATAAAAATCTCATCGCATAGATAATATTTGAATTCTTTCATGTGCAATGAGGTAAATTCTACGAGAAAAAAATCTTATAAAAAAATAAAACCATCATAAAATGGTAAACACAATTGACAATATCAAAAAAGTGAAGTAAAATTTGAAAGAAGAATTAACACAAAAAAACTATTAAATTTTTCATTTTTCGACAATGCTAATGAATATTATTACATTCAGTCTAATGAAAACACATGAAAAGTTGCCAGCCAGTGTACAATTGCCTCGTCGATACTTGTCCTTGTATTCAAATATAATAGATGGCTGTAATGATTCAAATATAATTTATTTGGACGATTATAATACAAATGCATCATTACCATTATACCATATTGAAGAGGGACAATACATATGCCTTGTTGGAAATATCTTCATTGGATCAGATTCCGACATTATTGGCCTTGCAGCCTTCCCAGACAACAAATATGATTTTGAATATTCTGATCCTATTCAAAATCCACTTGTTTCTATTGCAAAGGAAGAAAATCTTTATCTTACGTCAAATTTTCCAATCACAAGAATTAACTGCAAAGACACAACAAAGAATTGCACAATACAAGTGGCATCGTTGCCACCATCTTGTCACGTAAAAGATAAAAATCCATTAGATGAAAAAATCTATGAATTTTCCCTTAAAGTCGTTCTAGATACAAAACGACAAGGAAACTACACTTTCAAACAATATACCCAGGTTAATAGAGAAATACCCAGAATCTTTAGTACAACTGGTGTTTTCATTTCAAAAAGTAATAGAACATTCAAATATTCGGAAAGGGGTGAACCAAAAATAGATTCCTACCCACATAATTTTTTAACCGCATCTGACAAAATGATGTATAGAATGCATACGATTGAGCTTAGGGTCGAAAATACATCTGAAGAAATATATGAACTCAATTTTAAATATGGTGAGATTCCAGATACAGAAACTCAGGAGCCATTTTTGTTTAGAGAAGATCTCAGTCTCACACTTCCTACTAAATATTGATTATACACCATTGAAAATGCAAGTCAACCATGTCCTCTAGATCCAGATCTTCCACCAGAAACACCAGCTCCAACACCAGAACCAACCCCATCACCGAAACCAACAAAATCGCGGAAACCAACACCAGCTCCAACAACAATCCCAGAACAAACCCAAACACCTACACAAACACCTACAGAAAACTCAGATGATTCAAAACAAAACAAAACTAAGAAAACCATTATCATTTTATCTGTTTCGGTCGGTGTATTATTTATTGTATTGGTTAATCTTGCTTGTTGTCTATTTATTTTTACTCGTATGCAAAAACCTCGTGAAAGTGAACTCACCGAAGATCTTTTTAAAGTTTAAGTTTTAGTATTTATAATGGCCATTATGAAAAAGCAAATAATGAATTAAATAATTATAATGGTCATTAATTTATACTTGCATTGATATTTTTGTATAAATTTATATATTTCGATTGATTTCTTAAAGACAAATGTTTTCAAAAATGGCATTGTCGTTTATACCAAATATTATTGTGTTCTTATTAAAAGTTCATTAACCAGTTCATGACATTGCCTTCAACAATGCTTCACACCTGTTTTCAAAAATTTAAATAATACTGAGCATCATCAATTATTATGTGAATAAACAAATAGTAATATAAAGAATAGAAAATTTTATAAAAATAATAAATAACAAATATATATATAAATAAAAAACAAAAAAATCTAATATTATCCAATTTGTGGAATCTGAGTATTTGCAGTTAATCGTTCATTGCATTCTTTGCAAATGGAACCATGTTCTGCACACAAAGGTTTCTGGCACTGATAACATCTTTTATCTGTCAAAGTTCCACATTCAACACATCGACCGAAACTTTCATCCAAAAGGACTTTGAAAACTTGGCATCGAGTATCTATCGCAATGACTGATGTTCCGAAAACGTCAACACTAGTAATTGCTTGTTTGCCGCATTTCTGTCTCAACAAGAATTCTCCGCAATAGAAATCGATTGCGCCATTAACTGTGCCAACAACAACAATTCTTCTTGTGTAATCTCTTCCAAGTTCGATGCAAGAAGCGCATGTTACATCCCCACTTGATTTGAAGGTATTAATAATCTCTCCATTAACAGATAGATCGATGACTTGCTCGCCTCCACCAATAGAGAATAAACCACTTCCATAAATAACAAATCTTCCGTAGAAAGGAATAATTTTGTGAATTTGTGAAGTAATAAATGACCAAATAATAACAGAAGAAGTACTCAAAGATGCACAAACTAAATCTCTTGGAGATATTGCTGTCATGTGTATCTTTTCTTGTGTAGTTATTGATCCAATAGGCTTCAATTCAACAGGAACTCCACTGTCATATTTAATCATCATCACTTCACTTCGACCAAAATTATATGAAATAACTAAAAACAAATAATCAGGAGAAACAGAAAGATGTGTTACGAAAGAGAAATCAGGGGAATGAGCTGCAAGAATCGCTGATCCATTGTTCAAGTCATGGACAATTAGTGATTCACTCTCTCTTTCAACAGAAACAAAGTAATTCATGAAAATTGCGGACAAAAATGGAATAATTGTTTCATTTTGTGTAACTCTAAATGATCTCAATTTCGAAGGATTGTTTGGCTCTATTTTAGTCATTTTCGCTCTTGAACACCATTCTTTAGCTGTTGGAGAATTAAACACATGTTTTGGATGTTGTTTAGTGAATAGTTGTAATGGACATTGGCCGAAATTAATTGTTTGGCTTTCAAAAACATTTTCTTCCATGTTCAATGACTCTGCTGTTGCATTATGATAAGAAGTAGGAAGGAACAAATTCTTGCTTTCAAGAGCAGCTTCTCCTTGTTGTTTAAAGCCAAAAATCAAGTCAATCCATTCACAAATATTCTCGTTTTCGAGCAATTTCTTCATCATTTCGCTTGTGAAGAGCTGTGGGTCGTTGTTTGCCCATTCAGGAAGCAAAACATTATCACAAACAAGTCCTTGGAAAGGAAGTTTCGCTGTGTTCTTGTATATCTCAGGAATTGTGAAAACTTCTGGAATTAATTCCTTCAAATCACTTTGATTGTTTTGGGAAGCAGAATTATAAGCGTCCAAGATGTTTAAGAACATTCTACTTGGATCATCCCATCCGTTGTTCAAATCCCAACCGAAATAACAGAAAGGACAAAGACGAACCATGAACCAGAAAATAATTCCTGGCAATGAATAATGAAAACCATAGAAATATTTTGGTTCTTCAGACAAATCATAAGTTAACTGGTAATGTTTGCTTCTTTCTTCTCCAAGTTGTCCCATTGGTTTGGAGAGATCTCGTTCAGATAAATTAGGAGAACAAATCCAAGGAAAAACAGGATATTGTGTCAAATCAAAAAAGTTTCTTCCGCCAAAATAATTCAAAACTAAAAGATATTCGTAGTTATCGAGTTTGTTGTCTTGCCAAAGACTTTGTGCTTGCTGTTGTGTTTGTATACAGAAAAGGAATTTGTTGTGTGGCAAGAAATTCTTGAAATTGCAATTCCTTTTCTGGAAAATTTTGGAGAAAATTGTCATTTCTTTTTCATGTCCAAAATCTAAAACAACATTTGGAGATGTCAATGAATAAATGGAAAACCCTGACTGCTTGTGAACAAACAAATGTTTCCTTGTCATAATGATCTGGTCATATGGTAAAATAATGACAACATGACCACAAAAAAGTGACACATTTTGATAATCTCCGACCAAAACACTTTCAGAAAATGGAATGAAAGCGACAGGATTTTTCAGTGTTTTTATCAAAGAGAGTCTGTTATCATTGTATTCGGCTAAAGTAAGAATTAACAAGGCATTCTCTGTAACAAATAAAACACTCGACAATCCATGAATATAATAATAAAATTTGACAGAAAAAGTGCCAAATAATTGTTCCGGAGCAAAAATGTCAGAAAAAGTTTGAGTAAACATCTGTAATAAATCAGATTCCAAATATTTCGAGTACTCAAAACAAGAATACTTTCCAAGCTGGAAATGGAAATATTCAGGGTCTGCATCCAAAATTCCCAGGGTCTCAAAAACATGACAATTATTTTTTGGAATATTAATTTCTAATTTGAAGAAAGAAGAAGGAGTTGTCACGTTGAATTTCGGTTGAGGAAGTTTGAAAGGACTTGGCACGACAACTCTTGGTTGGAAAACAGGAAGAACTAAAGGACTTAATCTAGAACTTTCTTTTGGAACATTTATTTGCAGTTTTCTTCTGAAACTTCTTTGCAAACAATCGAAATAATCTCTTTCTATTTGTCTCTCAATTCTGTTCATCAAAACATTAAATACTTTAGAATGTTGCTCCCTTTCAATGTCAATAAAAACTTTTTGACATAAAATGTGTTTTGCGGCCAAACTCTTTTTATGTGAATCGAAATCCAAAACTGTTGTCATTCTTTCAATTCTCAGTTTGTTTTCAAGTTCATTTTCTCCTTGCAACATATGCTGTTTGAATGCGCCCCAGTTTGATTCGATTTCATTCTGTTTATAAGAAGAAATCGTGGAAGTTCCAACCAAATCCATGAACAACTTCATGCACTTCAAAAACTTATTATTTGTTGATGAAATTTGCCTCGTTGCACACAGCCAATAATGACAAAATTGTGTGTCTTTAAATACAATGTTACAAAAAATGACAGTGTCAAAACTACTGAATAATTGGAATAAATCAATCATGTTCTCTTCGGAAGTAAAAACAAACGCACAAAGTAATATTTCCCTGTAGCAACTCAATACTTGGTTATCTTCCATGAAACTCAAAAAGATTTCATTAACTTGTAAAGTCTTCAAAAAGTTGAATAAAAGTGACAACAAATCCGTTATTTTTTCAGCGAACAATGATCTTACTGTATAATGATGTGTTATTAAAATTGCTGGCTTAAACATCATAGAATAAGAACTTTCCGCGTTCGCGAGTTGTATCAACATATTTAAGACCATTTGGCGGCTAAATAATCGTCTATAATTTATCGTCATCAGAGCGAAACCAGCGGAATATTCCAAAAACGTTGTTTGGAATGATTGAGAGTCAAATGACAACAAAATCGACACTAAAAATATGGCAATCTGTGTTTCATTTAATACTGTTTCCATCCAATCGAAATCCCCTGAATAACGAGGAAAACCGCTTTCTGACATGGCATATTCTGACATGTTTAAATCAGCAGGAACTTCAAATTCACATAATTCTAATGTATTATTTGCATCTTCCCTTGTTATTTGGTAAGTATTATTTTCTTTCGTTAATTCCGTTCTTGTTCCAGCCTTGTTTGAAGAGAAAGTTGTTGGAATTACTCCCAAATTACTCAAACAAAGTAAAATTGGCCAACAATTCTTAGTTGTAAAACATTGGAAATTATTAAATGATAATAAACTTGCAATTATTTTTTGCAACAAATCTAAATTGGAATTAGAGTTCAACAATGAACATAACATTTCTAAAATAACAGGAGCAAATAATGGCCTTTGAATACTCATGTTTTTCGGGAATTTTTTCACAACAAAACCGCCGAGAATTGAAAAAGCGGTTAACCAGGCATTTTCTGACAAAGCGAACTTAGAGAAGATGAAACAAGCATAAGAAGAAGATGTTATAAATTGAGGATTCCTGTTCGAATAACTGCAAATCAAATCAGCCAACATAAGTGAGGATTCACCCTTAAAAAGTGACATATAATCCAATAATTGTTGATAAGTAAATAATTGATTTTCAATGTTATCATTTGCGAGTTTAACAAATGATTTGATTAATTTATATTGTGAAGATTCTGATCCTTCGAAAGATCTGAGTGTTACAATGAAATTCATGTAACTTTTCAATTTAATTCCATTTGGATTTATCAACATCATTTTGTTAAGAAAAGGAATAAAAGTGTCAATTATTTGTTCGGCCAAATTTGCTCTACAAATATTATAAATGAAATCAAACAAATTATTCTGTTCAAAGAATTCCCAATTAACTAGCTTAGATTGTAATATTCTTTCAAGCCATTTAACAATTAAGTTCGAGTCAAAAGTGAAGTAAAAATCGATAAAAGTGAGTAAAAACAACAAAATTTTTGTTGTATTTTTTTCTCCAGCAATTACAGAAAAATTATCAAAGAAATAATACATGAAATTATGAGCAACTAACTCTTTCTGTCTTATGAAACAAATTGACATTCTCGACCAGAATTTCCTGAGTTTGATTGAATTCCTTTGTTGTATATTCAACAAACAAATAAAAATGGAACTCAAATGATCAGCATTTTTCGCTGTGTCAAATAATTCAAAAATCATTTCCAATTGATGGAAATCTTTGAAATATGAACTGAAGCCGTGGAAAGGTACGTCAAAGACACTCTCATTATGATTGAACATAGCTGTCTTAACACCTTGTATTGGAACTAAATTTCCTGGCCCTCTTTTGTTCAACAATTCAATTTGTAATTGAGAGAAACCGCTTTCTGACATAAACAAACTTTTTGAAATGTACATTGATGCTTCCAAATGTTTCTCTGTTTCACCAAGTATTATTTGGCTGGGGAGGTCCTCTAAATTAACAACAAAATCTTTGAAATTGTTTGAATCCAAGGTGAAACCGATTTTGTTGATTTTTTTGATCGGACTCAATTTAAATTGAACAACAACGTGGTGGAAAACATTTGACGAACAAGGAAGAGCGATCTTATCATTGCGATTAGTCTCTATTATCACGGATTCTGCTGAAAATACAATGGATATCAAATTAGTCTTAAAAACTGTTAAATTAGAACTAATTTGGTACGGAACATTGAACCAAAAGGAAATAGAACATGAAGGATGCTGTATTGTCATGTAACTCGGTCCATGGAATGGAACAAACTCGAAAATAGAGAAATATGGAGATGTTCTGTCAACAAATTTATGAAATATCTCTGGATAATTAAATAAATCATCTTTCGTCTGCGAAGTAACTAATCTATTAACAATTTGTGTTAAATTAGGTATTTTGTCAAATTTTATACCTTGTTTTTTGTATAATTGGAAACCATATTTTCCGGCCAAATATAAATTCAATGGAGTTTTGCATTTGAACTGCGGACAATAGAGATAGAGGCTCGGGAGATGGAGGAGAGTGAGCTTTTCATCGGTGGCGAGCTTGAATAAAACCTCTTTGTCGACTTGGAAGATCGGGGAGTCTTTGGATTGTTTGTTGATCCAAGTATCTATCGCTTCATAGGGACGGAAATGAGCGAGACTTGATAACAACATTATTACGAACTTGGCTTTGCTACTGTCACTGTTAATAAGGCTTTGCAATTTACTAAATCCGTTCTGATTTGTAAATATCTCAAAAGACATCGAATTCTTACGAATATGCTTGATCAATACATTCATGAGTAACTCTGATTGCATAAAATCTGGGAATAACTCAATAGCTTTCGGTGAAAAATGTTTTTCAAAAATTGCGTCCAAAAAATTACAAAATGACTCTAGAGTTGATAGTTTTGAGTGCTCTCCTACGAGTTTTTCCAGCATTGACTCGTGAATTGTGTCTGTGTCAATAGATAAATAAACAAATTCTGAAATCGCCTGAAAATCACTGAACTCTACGAAGTATGTGTATACATCTGATATTGAAGGTAAGAATATGAACCTTTCGATGAATAATTGTTTGATTAAAAAATCTGATGTTATATCTCCATTAATTATGCCTATATTGAGTAATTTTAAGAACTTATCGACAGGTACATCCTTATTTACAGGTGGTGCTACCATTGTAATGAAATTTGGAACAAGATTTGACACATTCATAATTTTCTTCGTCGCGAGATCGCAAAAGAAGTCTGCAAGTTTGCACAGACCTTCGTAGTTAAGTCCCGGTGGTTCTAGTATCCAGTTTTGTAAAGGAACGGCTGTTTCCAGCTTTTTATACGTATCTTGAATTGATTTCGTAGAAACTGACAGCAGAGGAATGAGAGATGATCGCAATTCCGGTGAAACCTCCGGATTCTTGTAAAAGTCAAAAAGTGCGGATAAAATTGTTGGGTGGACATCGCAGCCAATTAAAAGTAATTCGTAAGCCTCCATGGCTGTATTTGGACAGTGCTTAAGGAAGATCTCGTTGCAGAGCTCGTAGCCTCCTGTCGTTTGGAATAACTGATAAAAATCAGGATTTGACTTGCAAAACGAGGAGAAATAATTCAGGACGTAAAGGATTGCGTTTTTGTATGGGAAATCTGTTTCTTTTTGCTCTTTAATGACTTGGACGAAAGATTTTAGAAATGTAGACGATTGTTGCGATTTTTGAAGGAAAGTTAATGGTAAACTACAATATAAAAGTATATTGAAGAAGTTTTGCAACTCTTCGTAATCCTTTTTTAAGAAGAATGTGTCGAATATCATATAAAAACCGTCTTTATCATTGAACTGGGTGAAAAATGACTCGCTTCTGAATATGCATTGTAAGAATTTTTCGCAGTGTTGTAAAAAATCTGATTTCATCTTGAGCATTTGAATGATATGTGAAAACATCGGTAAAAACTCCGTAGCATGAGGGATACTTGGAAAAAACTTTGATGCAAACACAAGAGTGTTGAACATTTTTGTGCTAATTTCTATTTTATCCACATATTCTACTCCAATTTTTGCGCATAAACCTGAATAAGCTGAAATAACAGCTCTAACATCGGAATTTTTGCGATACTTCTCATCAAATCCTTCAAATGTTGGACCGAAATCATCAACTACCTTTGGAAATTGATGGAAATCTGCTTGATTTTTAGAATGCAGTAAAGCATCGACTTTATCAGAGTATAGTTTTAACTTTTCTGCATCTTCTTTGGATAATTTTGTTTTCTGGCTGTCTTTTAGACCACCAGTGTCCCTAAACAATAAGTTACCCAAAGATCGAAGCATTTTTGTCAATTTTTTTATTTTATTTGTCAAAAAAATAAAATCAATGACATCACATATCTAATTACAACACTTGAAAAAATAGAGATACTCAATGTGCACAAAGTATATACTAAAATTTCATCGTATTTTTATCATTTTAATCCATATTTGTTTGAATTTTTTAAAAAAAACTATTTCAAAGTTATTGTTGTGAGGAGATTAAGCATCCAATGCTTTCATGAGTTCATATTGGAATTTCTTTATGTACAAATTTATTTAAATCATGATTAAGATTTCATTCTTTGTGAATTTAACATAAATATAGTAATCTAATAACAAAAAATCAGGTATTTTGTAGGACATGAATAGATTTTGAATACTACGCCTTTCTAATCGATAAGATGACTTCCTTTAATTGTAAAAAAGAAGAATTATGAATTTGAATAGATTTTACGGGCGTATTTTGGAAGAAAAATTATATGAAATTTCACTAGTACACATACTTGTTAAGTTTTTCTTCAAATGCAACTTTTAATTGAAGCGAAAATGATCGTTCAAATCAAAAATGTTTTTCATCTTAGTGTTTCTTTCTTTGTCTTTAAATGATGTAGATGATTTAAAGAAATTAGATGGAAGAAAGGATGAAAAACATGATATTGCTGGTAAGGATCCATTAATTGCAGATAATCATAAAATCGAAAATTTAAACAAGCCAAAAGATCAACAAAATCCAGAAAATCCAAATGCAAGAGATGGAATACATGATAAAATATCAGACGTTCCAAATAAAGTGAATGAAAATGGTCAGATAAAGCAAGAAGGAATAATTAATGAAAATGATAAACCAGGTATGCAAAAATCAATTACAGATAAAAGCAAATCTGATGTATTACGTGGAAGTGTTGATGGTACTGACAAAAACATTAAAAATGAAAATGAAATCATCAAAAGCGGGGAAATTCCAGGCGAAAATCAAAAAGCAAACAGATTAAGAGGAACTACAGCCTATGAAAATGATGATTTATCAGTTACTGGTCAAAATAGAGAAAATAATATTCCGAAAAATAATATGAACCCACATCCAGTTACAGAAAGCGACGAAGATGTAACTAGTGGCCGTAGAAATAGACGCCCTGGCAGAGATTTTCCTAATGGCGGCATCGATCCAAGATTTCCTGATGCAATTCATGCAGGAACACGGCATGGCGAAACAGATGAGCATGGAAATGTTTATTGTGATGATGACGATTTTTACTACGAGATGCATCCTGAATTTCATCATCATCCACATCCTCATGGTCCAGAATTCCAAGACGATCCAGAATTTTACCACAGAAGACGTGAAAACTGCATTCCTAGACCAACCAGAACTCCTACGCCATCTCCTTTGCCCACAGCAACTCCTCATCCGACACCAACCCCTCATCCAACAGCAACTCCGCATCCAACACCCACTCCATTGCCATTAGAAGATAGATGTTGGGATAAATGCAGTGTTAATGGCTCCTGTACCGATTACGAGTGCATATGCAACCGAAATTTCTGGGGAAACGGCGAAATTTGTCTCCAAATTGTTCCTGACATTATGTACATCGATCCACCACAAGCACGCGAAGGAACAACTCTGCATATCACTCTAAATATTCCAATTTGGTTCCAACCAGAAAAAACTTTCATAATGTTCGGAAATTTGATTGTTAAATCTAAAGGAGCTGTTGATTCTTTAGTTTCTGTTAGAGTTCCGAAGCTGAATCAGACAAGCATGCCTCTATATTTCTCATTTGACAGCATGAATTGGTCAAATCCTTCTTTCAATTTCACATATTTAGGAAAAGAAAGAACACATCATTTCTTACTTTATTTGTTTATTTTGTTTTGTTTTGTTGCAGCTGTTTCAGCAGGATTTGCTGCATCTCAGTATAATCCTCCTGTTGTGAAGCAGAAACCTGTTGTTGAAGATGAATTCTCTGATTTCAATCAGGATATAGATACTTATCATTATTTCGATATTGAAGGTGCACAACCTTTCACTAAATATCGATTCCATATTGAATAGAATAAAGTTTATTTTATAGTGTTTGTTTTGAAAAAAAAAGTTAATTTTATATATTAGGGAGTTTCTAATGGCAGAAACGTGAGATTTGAATGGAGCTTCCATTTTTGGTTTCATTCTTATAATATATGTTCTGATTCTCTTGTTATATGTCATATAATTTTTTTACTGGCAGTTGTGACAAGTAAATAATACATTAAAACAGATTGCAAATCCAATTTAAACAAATTTCATAACTCGTATATTTAAAAAAAAATTGAGGGGAAAAAAATCCAAAAATTGATAATGTTTGATTGAATTTTTAAAAAATCCAAAAATAAATATAAATGAATGCTAGATTAAATCCTCCAGATGGTTCTATAGAATCAAAAAAGGAATGGGGGTGATTATGAGCATCCGGGTGATGTCATGCATTTGAAATATCATAACAAATTCGTTGCTTATCTATTTTTAGTTATTTATGGCATTTTTGGCGCATATATTGTTAATGCTATCCTACAAAATCATTATATATTAACAAAGCCTATGGATACCCAAGGTTTTTATTGTGGAATTGACAATTCAAAGGTCTATAATATTCATGCTCCTAGAATGCTTGTTAAGCCAAATTTTGTTCACTACCCATACCTATTCTATGATGGCCATAATACTAGTAGTAAAATATGTGTTTCGAAGTGTCCTACGCGAGGAAATTTAAAAAGACTTAAATATGCAAACAAGCTTGATAATAGGACATACAACGCTAAATATTATCCAAATACCAGAAATATTTACGAATACAAAACAAAAACCTTCTTCAACAGGTGTATTCCTGATGTTAACATCGAAGAACTCATTATCTTCTTCCTTCAACGCATTGATTCCTTGAAGAAATTTTTCCCTAGAAGCGATTTCTTCTATGTTGTGTTCGATCTAAAGTGGCCGATTCTTGTTTCTTTGGCCGGATGTTTCATTGGATCTTTAGTGTCGATTATGTCACTTCGTTACATTGCAAAATTCATTGTTTATTTAGGCGCAATATCATTACCTTTTGTTTTAATTATATATAGCGTTTCGGGATTTAATATATATTTAATAGAACATTTAAACCCCACGCCTGCATCGAAAGATGAAGATTTAGAACCTCTAACTCTAATTATATTTCATTTTATCTTGGAAATAATTTTGATTTTTATCATTATCAAAACATGGAGCAAGTTTAATGATATTATATCAATCATTAAGCTTGCTTCTAGAGCTTTTTTCCAATTTTTCATGATAATAATTATTCATATTATTTCAATGATCCTTCCCCTCATCTTCGCCTTAGCATTTAAATTTTTAATTGAATATTTAGATAGTGATGATGAAACGTCCAAAGATATCGGAAAAATTATATTTGAATCAATTAATGAACTATCATCAAATGATTTAGGAAAAACCTTATTGAAGTTTTTTAGTGTGATGTTATTATATCATTTAGCTTATTCCTTGTATTATGCATCATCTATTCCATTTATTAAATGGTATTTCACAGGACAAGAGAGAAAAACATGTTGTGGATACACTGGTTTTTATGGATATTGGCTTGCATGGACGAAAGGATTAGGAATTATTACTATTTCTGATTTGGTTATGTTACCTTTTATGAAAATAATGTTTCTAAGAAAATTGATGCTTTTTATTATCCATTCTTTATTTATAATTCATCAGATATTTAATACCTCTTGGAAAAAATCTGCAAAATTGTTTTTTAATATTGTTGTTCGTGATACACTTTTTTTAATTTTAGCACATTGGTTATTTTTTGTTGTGATTTATAGCATACAAAAATGTGTTACTATTATAATAACACTAGCATTCAATACATATATCTCTGATGTTAAGAAAAATGTATTTGCCAAATTTATTGAATCTTTGTTTTCCCTCATGTCAAATGATTTTTTGGATTTCATGTATGGTATTTTTGCTATTGTTTTAGATACTATTTTGATTTGTTATCTATCTGAAAAAGTTATTCTTGGATCTAAAGTTGGTGATGCTTCAAATTTGGCTAACCATACAAATATTGATAGACATGGTAGCCAAGAGAATGATAATACAACAAACGAAAATAGAACAGAAAAAATGGAAAAGGAATTGAGATGAGCTGAAACGGAAATTGAGATGTAATACATCACAATAATAAAAGTAAAACTAAAAATAATTAATAATAAAAGTCTTTTCTATAAAATCAATCTTATTCTGAATTTAATTAGGATTGAATCTTCATTCTGACGTCCAGAGAATATCTTCATTGGTTCAGATTCTGTATCTATGAAATAAGAACTGAGTCCATCATATAACATGAACTATTTTTAATATATTAGCATAATATGTAGACAATGAAAAAAAAGCTCTCTCCAACTTATTTCGGTTACTCCTGCAAAATGAACGATTTTATATTATGTTTCCAATTGCAAAATTTCAGGTTCCTTGATATATTTTGAAAATGAATACTGTGAGTTGTATATTAAAAAAATAACAATAAAAAAATATTTAATTAGATAAAACAGAATCAGCAGCTTCCATCATTTGTTCAGGAGTCATTTCATCATCATATTCTAATCCTAAATCACTCAACAATCCACGCATTTCTTCTTTAACTCTTTCCAAAATTTCATTAGTTTTATTTCCGTTTTCAATTGCTTTTTGTAATTCGCTATTCAAAGCTTTATCAACATCAAACTTATCATCTTTCAATTTCTTCTGTAAAACATCATTTTGTATTCCCAAAACCTGTACTTTTGCTTGCGTCTGCAGCAATGTAGCATATACTTCATCTGTCCAAGCAGCCATTTCCTTTGCATTTTCTTCAAATTCATCAGCAGCTTTTGAAATAATTTTCAATTCATCTTGAGCTTCTTTTGTTGCAATTTTTTGGGCTTCTATCATTCCTTGTTTGTAATCATTGATTATATTATCCATCATTTCTTTGCATTCATCCAAACTAATAATCTTTCCATTGTATTCTATGTCTTCTTCTTCAGATATCCTTGATTCTTCATATAAAGGTTGTAATTGGTCATATTTTTCTCTTAAACTTTTCATTTCATTTCTTTTGTTTGTTACATCATTAAATGTTTTTTGTCTCAAATCAGTAATTTCATTATAAACTGCTGTGTATTTATTTTCTATTGTTATTAGTTGAGATTTCTGCAAATCCTTTAAATAAACAGTTTTCTGTTTTAGATAGTTATTTTTCGCTTTTTTAAGTTCTTCAATCAATTTCTTTTCTTCATTCGATTTCGGAAGTTTTTTGGAAATTTGTTGTTGTGCTTGTATCGTGTATCTCTTTAATATCGCTTTCTCAAGGTCTTCGTGCAACGAATCCCTTTCCTTTTTGAGTTTCTCCAGTTCATTAAACAATTCTTTGTTCGCTTCCAATGCTTCGGAATAAGTAATTCTTTGACTTTTGTCGGTTTCCATTTCACCTAAACTTCTTGCTCTTTCATTGGAATAATTCTGTCGCAATGACTGTTCAACGAGACTTAAATGTTCTCTAGACAATCTGATGAACTCATCACGTAATGGCTCGTTTTCTAGATATGGTTTCGCTTGTGAAGGAGTTAAGTTTTGTCTCAAAACACTGTTTATTGCTTTCAAACGCAAAAATTCTTCTTCAAGGGCTGCTTTTTCGGATCTTGACTTCGTCAGTTGTTCCGTGAGTCTTTTGTTCTCTTCCTGGACATTGTCGTCTGTCTGTGCATTGTTTGATGTTGATTGTTCGACCATTTTGTCAACAGACTGTTTTAATTCGTCTCTTCGCTTTTGCAGCTGGTTGATTTCTTCTCGCAATGAATCAATGTTGTCTTTGGCTTTGTCCGCTTTGTTCTTTTGGTTTTTAAGGGCTCTGACAACTGCTGGATGAGCAATTCCTTGTTTTGCATTTTGATCTTTGGCAGTGATCAGTTCTTTCTGGACAGTTTTCTTCTCTTGCTGGAGCTGCTTCAATTCTGATTGCTTTTTGATTGTTTCGGCTTGTAATTTTTGGATTTCAATTTTATTATCTTCTGAAGATGATGATTTCTCGGATTCGAGATCGCTAACAAACGAAATCTTCTTCTCTGGTTCTTCTTCGACCTTCGGAGATTCAGAAACTCGTGGAGAAGCTGATGAAGATGATCTGACAGGTTTTGCTTCGATAATTGTCAGTCCTTCCGGTTGGTAAATAAGCTTCTTAAGCTCTGTAATGGATATATCATGTTGTTTTATGTAATTCGACTGGTTTGTGAAAAATTTATTGTAATCAATCAAAGTTTGCTGGAGTTTTTGAACTGGTTCGATTATAACTCTGATCTCTTGGTACTGAGCGGCATTTTTATTGATATCTGCAAGCAATTTGATGCAAATTTGAATATCAGAAGATTCATCACCGTTCATGAAGTATTGGACGATGTCTAAGACTCTCGAGATATTATTCAGGTGATTCTGGCAGTCTTTTGGTATATCTTCTTGATGATCAAACAAAGGTTTTGAAATTTGAGTTAATTCTTTATGGGAATCCTTTATTCTATCCATTAAAGTAGATTCGAGATCTTTCAGCTGTTCTGTATGCTTTTGTATGATGGAATTCCATATATTCCAAAATTTCTTTGGAGCTTCTGATTTCTTTTGCCTTTCAAAGTTTCCCATTCGTACTGACCTTCTGGCCATAAGTGGTAACTCTTTTCCAATCTTGTCTATATCCATAACTTGCATTCTTTTTAATGAAGAATTTTTCTTGATGATATCGATAAAATCAGTTGATAACTTTGCAGCTGTTGATGACTCATCGTTGATTCTTGGTATCTGATTTAAGTTCGTTGGTGTTAATGATCTTCTTCTCGCTGGAATCGTTTGTTTCTTATTGTTTTTCTTGGAATTGTCTACTAGATATTCCTCCTTGGCAGGAACAGATGGAGCGCGAGTCTTTTTTGGAATTAAAGATCCTCTCCTCATCTTTACACGAAAAAAATCAAAAAAAAATCATTCAATTTTAAGGGTCCACTGTAAAAATTGAAAGTCTCTCAAAATTGAGAGGCGATTTGCAATTAATCGTTATCATCTTTTTTCGAAAATCCACTTTTCCTAGTGTTCTGATTAATATTTTGTGAATGTAACAATGAAGTATATGTTTTAGTAAGATGATAATATATTCTATCACTTCAAATCACTTAAAAATTGCAAAATCAGCGAGTATTATAAGAAAATGATTTTTTCGAATTTTTTCGCTTCTGGATGCGTGTTTTGAAAAATAGATATTTTTGAATTTTGATTTTAATTTAAGTATAAATTTTATATTAGGAATTTTTTTGACCTATTTCCAATCATTAATTCCTAAGTTTTTCTAGGAATTTAATTGAGAAGAAATTAGGAAATTCGCTTTAATGCCATTACATCCTAATATTGTGATGCATGTAGTTTATATTTATTGAGGCTAATGCCGGAATATCGTGCATTTTATAAAAAATTCAAAGAATTGACAATTGGATAGCACAAATTTAATTCTCTAGACAAAGTATTATTGTTTATATATTCAAAGCATTATCCTTCGTTTTGAAATGTTGGCCAAAAATTTTCGTGTTATTTTTTGTGTTTCAGCATAAATTATGTATTGACTTATGAAAGATAAGCATTTTATTCATTATCATAAAGATATACCAAAACAAATTGATAAAATTTAAAAAAAATGTGTATTTTAGTGGGTATTATTCTGGCTAATGCCCATTTTTAAACGATTTAATATTGACCATATCAATAGACGACTCAATGCAAAAATTTAGATATTATTTTTTTCATTATTCAAACTTTGATAAATTTTAGTATAATGAATGATTTTGTTTCGTGTATGATACAGAAATGAAAAGCTTGATTAATATCATTTTGCATTTTTTCAAGAATGTTAGAGTACATCTACATTAAAAAATCGGATTCGAATTGCAATACTGCATCAAATTGTTGCACATCTGATAAGGATCTCAAAAGAGTAAAGTTAATTTTTTTGTGTTTTTTAAGTTTTGGGCCTTAGTAAAAACACCATCTTGAGCAATATTTTTGGGACGACGATAGGCCTTATTTGGCTTTACAGTGGACCCTTAAATATGTTTTAAACAAAACAAATAAAAACATCGTTTTCTTTTAAACTTACCTAAAAACTTTGTAGCCTTTGGGAGTTTTTCAATCAAAGTGATTTTTGCAAATACATTTCCCTCGTTATTTGACTTAGGTGGAAAGGTCTCATTTCCTGGAATTGTCTGGGCAATGATGCCATTATAGCTAGTAACACCTCCTATATATCCAGAGCCGCCACCACCCTGGCCTCCATATGTTCCTTCAATTGTCAAACCGCCAAAATAACCGCCTCCACCACCGCCCGATGTTCCACCGCTTCTATATATTCCATTTTGGCCTAAGCCTTTTAAGTATCCGTATGTTTGTGATGCAGGTATTCCTACAGTTTCTCTTCCTCTTGGTGGAGCAGCTTCTAACCCACCGCCAAATGCAGGAGGAAGAGTCTCTCCCCATCCGGTATCAAATCCATTTCCCCCTGCACCACCAGCAACTATAACCCGGCTTTCTAGGTCTGTGCTATTAATTCTCAAGTCTGTAGCACCTCCGCCACCACTCCCTTGGTCACCTGTATCCCGATCATCCCAGGTAGAGTCACCTCCACCATTATAACCGCCGTGAGGCAAAGTTGAAGAATCTATTTTACTGCTTTCTCCTTGACCTCCAATAAAAACAAATACAGTCGAAGGGTACTCTAGTATCAATACTCCTTGCGAATAACCGCCTTGTCCGTTATTATGGCGAAAGTCTGTATTAGTATACGAAGATCCTCCATTTGCACCCCAAACTTCTACTTTATAAATTCCTGGTGCAAATTGAGAAGAATAATATGTGCAATCATAAGAAGATTGGCAAGGATAATAAATTGATGTTTCTCTAAAATTTATTACAAGATTAAGTACCCCTTTTGAGGCATCATGAAGTTCCCATACATTACTCTTAAATAATAACGCTCCAAACACAAAATTGCACATTATAAAATAATTCGAATGTGGAACAAAATAGGGTGCTCTCTAGCATATTTTTATTCGATTTTATGTGGTTTTAATGTTACCATAAGAAGTTATATCAATAGAAAGGTAAAGAAACACCTAATGTTAATACTTATCAAATAAATATAGCTATGCCATTATTAAACCGATTCTCAAAACTAGAAATGATTCGGAGTTAGTAATCCTTCATTTCAAAGAAACTGAAAGAACTTCGGTATTTGAGTGATGCTGAAGCTATATGTCACCTTTTGATTAACCTTAAATATTGGTTTATGTTATATTGGAACTCCTGAACAATGATTTTCCTTCAGCTCTAACCTCATCGAGCATGATTTATACTTTGGATTGTAGCATATAATTGCACAAGATAAACCAAATAACTAATAATATAAATATTAAAAGGAGCATGTAGAATGTTTGCGGATATTGAGTATAACGATGAGCTTGATCTTATCTGCTGACAGATATTTCAATAATTTTTCGGAAGGAAATTGAGTATGAATCATATAAAAAGTGACAAGCGTAGAATGGGTTCCTGGCTTTCACCTGATTTTTATGTTTGGCTGACAAATCATTCTGAACTGGTGCCTTTCATACAGGTAGAGTCATTTCCCGCCACTGTAAAAGGTAATGAAAAAAATAAAATTATTAAAAAATATAAACAGAATAAAGAATTATACGTAGAACAGCTGGCACAATTTTCATCAGAACAGCTTGTTCTTTCAGAACCCGATCTATCTGATACTCAAAAACCCGAGTTTGATTCAGCAAAAAGAGCAGTTTGGCTTTATCACTTCATATGCTACATACGTTGGGAAATTTATAACCTACAACTCACAGCATTTAATAAATCGCTTGAATCATGCTCATCAATCATCACTTTATTAACTTCGAATGATATTCCCGAGACTTTTAATGTAATCATAGATTTACCTAGCTTGTATGTTTATCTATTGAGAGAAGATACTAAAGTTACTTCTTTAAGATGGAAATTTCAATTTACAGCAAATGAATATTCTCGATTTATTTCAGTTCCTGCAGCCCTTTCTAAGCTTAAACAGATCTTATACAATACTCTAGAGTTTTGCAAGAACCAAATCGATAAGAATTCCTCGTATTTTTATCCAAATAACGCAGATCAAAGATTCCAACAGATTTTGCTTACAAAGAATTCCCCTGTATATCAAGATTTCGTAGATTTCATTAATACATTTTCAACTAAGCCAAAAAACCTTTATACGCCTTCACTTTTACAATTTTTCCAAAAATTTGCAAAAGTTTATGAACTAAATACAATGGAATACGTATCAATCGCAATGACTCTATTAATGCGATCTGCATTCTCTTATTCCTACGAAAAAGACCCAGAATATTTTTATCCGAAAATAGATCTTAGAATGGACCCAAGAAAGTTCGTATGCAGTGACATTTGTACAGAAGGTTCATTTTTGACGCCAGAAGACCTTGCAAAGCCAGTTTTGGACGTATTTTTCACAGATGATTTCAGAAGTCCCGTTCTTCACATAGAATTCGCTGCTTTGTATGTTAACCCTATTGACGCCTTGTTTGAGATCCACGAAGCAATAAAAGTGACCCAAAGAATAATTTTGACAAAATTAAAACGAGAAAATTGTAAAGTTCTCGCTTTTGAAGAGTTATTTGGCCCTTTGGCCGGAGTCGCTCTTTGTACTACGGATTTCCTTTCTTTGGGCCATTACGTGATTAATTTTGCTCCTGCAACAGAACTGAGTCCTGATTTAGACTACACACTAGCTACTGTTAAAGCACTGATAAAGTTTATGGAAACTGACCTTTCAAAAAAATTATTGAAATAAATGTTTGAATTTTTACGAATGTTTGTAAATTTAATTATATGAATTATACATTTTTACACAATTCTATATTGTTTGATATTGAAGATTCATATTTTTATGCTGAAGAAAATGATAAATTATTATTCATGATTTCTTTTAAATACATTGGCTGCATATATGATGTTGATGATGTATATGCATTTACTAAAATTGATTATTTCATTACATTGATGTGGTGTTTTTTGAAATTAGATTAAATCAGACGCATTAATGAAGAATAAGCTTGGATATTTCGTAGTTTAATTTTATATTATAATATGTGTCCTTTATTAATTAGAAGAAGATGCGACAGAATATAAACATGTACAATATATTGAGAGTAATTTCTTCATAAATATACCTCATTGGTTGAATCGGCAATTTTTATATCAAAAAAAGGGTATGATTATCATCACGCAAGAATATTATGATTACACAATTAAGATATCAATGAGATAGACAAAAACTTTTTGAAGTTATTTGGTAAGGGAGTATTAATTAAAATCATAAGATATTTCCTTTTATGATGGCTTCAAAAAAATGAGACTTTTATATGGCAGTCCCAACGGGAACCGCGGTAATTTACCGAGGTTTCCGCACATCGGTTCCTTTTTTTAGGAATTTTTTAGATTAAAAAATATGCTTTGTAAATCATTTTTTGTAAATCGGCAAAAATTTGGAAATATTCTGACGACAATAAATCTGGGAATAGTATTTTAAATACGAGAACAACCTATTTAAAAGTGTTTCGCTCGATTTTGTATAATTTCAAATTTTCGCATATAGCTTTCCGTGAATTACCGTGATTTTACCGCCACATCAATAGTTTACGACACTTTTTCCGTAAATTGAGTAGTTTACTGCACTTTTTCCGTAAAATTGAGTTACGGGAATCTGTAAGATTACTGTACCTCACTTCTAGTTGAAAATAGCATTAGTATATAATAAATAGATATATTATTCATATTTTTGATTTTGAATTACGGGAAAAGTGAGTTCAGAACTTCCAATTATTATTTGATTAATTATGTTAAAAATACTATAAGGAATTAAAATACATAATGTTGAAATTTGAATTACGGAAAAAGTGAGGGTGAAAGTGAAGTGAAAAAGTAAGATATTTTTTGTTGAAATAATCATAGTTGTACAATTTTGAAACTATATGTAAAGCTATAAATTGAATAAATTCAAAAACAAAAATTGTTTATTCTTATTAATAAATTTATATTAATCAATATTTGAACAACCCGTAATTAAAATTGAATTCATCTTAAAATTTAATCCATACGTTAATTTTTAATTTGCTCGGCGAATGCCGAGCTTCCCTACTTCTCTTGTCATTCCTTCAAAAACTCTAATCTCATCGCACTTACAAACATCATGATTTGATGTATTGTCGAGAAATCTTAGACCTGTTTGTCATTTGATTATAGCATTTGAAAGTCATCTCGAAAATCGATTAACAAGACAATTTCCCAAACATCTACATACAAGTAGATGATGGTAAACCCATTAGAGTTGTTTTGCTATGATTCCTCCAATCTTATGATGAGAAAAATCATATCAAAAAGCTCTAATCGAACATTCTACACAGCTTAGCATCCAGCTAGTTCCAAGTAATGCGATTACAACATCAACGGCCAAAGCCTTTCAGAGTCCTTTAATCATTTCTTCTCATCTCAATGTGAAGTGGCCCCAAACGAACTACAAGCTGACGTTACAACGCATTACAACCCGGTTAATACGAGCATATACATTAGAGCTGCTTGTTATGATCTCCCTCATCAATTGATGAGAGATCTCATTATGAAGCAGCTCCAATCGAACTAAAAACCTACATACAAATGAGTGAAAACAAACTCATTAGAGTTGTGTTGCTTTGATTTCTCTCATCAGAAGATGAGAGATTACCAGAACAAAACAACTCTAATCAAACTTTCTACACAACTCAGCACAGTATCAATGCAAAGTAATGCGTCTGTATCGTTAACAAGCAAAGTTGTTTCGGGTCCTTCCATTTTGGAAGAATTCGGAACAACTTTGCGAATTGATAGTGTAAACCCATATACATGAAAGCGTGCATGCATAAAGACAGGTATTGTCAGCAAATGACTACCTGCCCAGCTATGAGTGATCAGAGAATTACCATCTCAGGCTTTTTGAGAACGTTTCAGCCAGGACCCTCGTATGTTGACTGTGAGAAAGGCATCCTTTATCTGAAATAGATGCTTTTCCAACAATCAAATTCGAAGATCTTCGACGTTGTTGTAAAAAGAGAAGGAGAAGGAAAGAAGAGGAAGGAGAGGAAGAAGGAGAGGAAAAGAAGAAGAAAAAAGAAAAAAAAAAGAAGGGCATATTAAATATAATGCGCACGTAATAGTGCCGAGGCGCGATTTTTTTGACCCTATATTACCGCACGGCAATGTTTTTCTCGATTTTGTACAGCCCTAGACTTTTATATATAAAATTTTAATGTATAAATAAACATGAAATAAGGTAATTAGCAAATCAATTTTATATAGGGCTGTACAAAATCGGGAAAAACATTGCCGTGCGATTAGAGCTGTTTTGATATGATTTTTCTCATCATAAGATTGGAGGAATCATAGCAAAACAACTCTAATGGGTTTACCATCATCTACTTGTATGTAGATGTTTGGAAATTGTCTTGTTAATCGATTTTCGAGATGACTTTCAAATGCTATAATCAAATGACAAACAGGCTAAGATTTCTCGACAACATCAAATCATGATGTTTGTAAGTGCGATGAGATTAGAGTTTTTGAAGGAATGACAAGAGAAGTAGGGAAGCTCGGCATTCGCCGAGCAAATTAAAAATTAACGTATGGATTAAATTTTAAGATGAATTCAATTTTAATTACGGGTTGTTCAAATATTGATTAATATAAATTTATTAATAAGAATAAACAATTTTTTTTTGAATTTATTCAATTTATAGCTTTACATTATAGTTTCAAAATTGTACAACTATGATTATTTCAACAAAAAATATCTTACTTTTTCACTTCACTTTCACCCCACTTTTTCCGTAATTCAAATTTCAACATTATGTATTTAATTCCTTATAGTATTTTTAACATAATTAATCAAATAATAATTGGAAGTTCTGAACTCACTTTTCCCGTAATTCAAAATCAAAAATATGAATAATATATCTATTTATTATATACTAATGCTATTTTCAACTAGAAGTGAGGTACAGTAATCTTACAGATTCCCGTAACTCAATTTTACGGAAAAAGTGCAGTAAACTACTCAATTTACGGAAAAAGTGTCGTAAACTATTGATGTGGCGGTAAAATCACGGTAATTCACGGAAAGCTATATGCGAAAATTTGAAATTATACAAAATCGAGCGAAACACTTTTAAATAGGTTGTTCTCGTATTTAAAATACTATTCCCAGATTTATTGTCGTCAGAATATTTCCAAATTTTTGCCGATTTACAAAAAATGATTTACAAAGCATATTTTTTAATCTAAAAAATTCCTAAAAAAAGGAACCGATGTGCGGAAACCTCGGTAAATTACCGCGGTTCCCGTTGGGACTGCCATAATTTTATAGCTCTATATGCTAATGAATTAGAAGTGTCTTTAATATATCTTGTTAAACCAAATGTTGAAATGAGTTCTTTCAAATTCATGTTCTGTTTTGCATAACTTATTGGTGATATACCCTTACGATCAATTAAATTTGGATTTGCTTTATATGAGAGCAGAATTTTAATTGATTCTATATATCCTACCATCGATGCAAAGTGCAACGGAGTCTGATCTAAGATATTAAGGGAATTAACCCTAGCACCATTATCAATGAGAAATTTTATGACTCCAATACTACCATTAATTGCAGCAATATGAAGTGGTGTATTTCCACAAATATCTTTTGCATTGATCCGTCCTCTTTGGGCCAATAGGATTTTGGCAATTTCTATATTATTATTTTTGGCAGCATAGTGAAGAGGCGCTTTTCCATATTTATCTTTTGCATTTGTATTTGCACCAGTTGAAATCAGAATTTGAGCTGTTTCTATATTGCCATTTTCAACTGCATAATGAAGTGGAGTTTTATTTTCAATATCTTTTATATCAATATCTGCTCTTGATGCAATAAGAATTTCAACAAATTCTTTTTTCTTGGCATATGCGGCATAATGTAAAGGAGTTCTTCCATTTTTATCTTTAGCATCGAGATATGAACCCTTTAAAATAAGTAAATTACCAACTTCTTGGCAATTATTAATTGAAGCATAATGAAGGGGAGTTTTTCCATCTTTGTTTTTTGCGTTTACATTTGCATCATGTAATATGAGAAGTTCTGTAATTTCAACATTGTTTCTTTCGGCTGCAAAATGAAGAGCAGTTTGGAAATTAATATCATATGAATTTGCATTGGCTCCATGAGTAAATAGTAGCTTGATTATTTTTATATTATTATTATCGACTGCATAATGAAGTGGAGTTTTTCCATAATAATGGTCTTTGAGACAAACTTTTGCTCCACGTGAAAGTAGAGCTTGAACAGAATCTATGTGATTATGTATTGTTGCATAATGAAGCGCTGTTTTTCCGAGAACATCTTTTGCATTCATGTTTGCTCCTTGAGAAATAAGTTCATTTATTAATTCTAAATCATTTCTTTCGGCAGCTTGATGAAGAAATGTTTTTCCATTTTCTTTTTGTTTATCTAAATTTGCGCCAATTGAAGCAATAAGTTCTATTAATTCATAACATTTATTATTAATTGTTATGGAAATTGCCTTTTGCTTGTCGATCTTCTCAATGAATTTGTTTGATTTTAAGAAAAAGAAATTCACCAAAGAAGGAATTGCAAATAACAAAGAGCAATAAAAACAATTTGGAGAATCAATTGAATTCATATCAAATTTTTCATTCATATATACAAAAAATGCAGATATGTTTTTAAATTTTGCACAGTAATTGATATCTATTTGTAAATTATATTCATTCATCAAGAATGTAACAAAGTCAATGTTGTGTGAAATGATTGCATATTTCATGCATTTTTCATTTGGTTTTTGATATTTTAAACATTCATTCAATATATCTGGGACACCACTGATAAATGAATATTGAAGACATTTCTTTGTGACATTTGATTTATATTCTGTCCTCAAATACTTGAAGCATTTTACAGCTCCATGAAGGCAACAGAATTCAAGTAAAGTGAATTTCCTTAGAGATACTTTTGATTGTTTGTCAAACTTCCCTGTGAAAAACAATGCATTTAAATGATTTAAATTTGTGCTATGAAGTTCAGTAGATGAAATAAACAATGTTATATCATCGTAAATAATTGCATTGATCATTGGAATTTCGTAATCATTATCACCAAGAAAAGGGGGACTGGTTTGATAAGGATTATTATAACATCTATTTTCGAATATCATTTTAAATTCCTTGTATAAAAAGAAGTAGAGGGTTGAGTTGCAATTATCAAGACTTTGCAAATTATAGTCATCGATGATCCATTTAATAATCAGTAGATATGACTTAAAAACATGATACCTCGAAAGCATTACATCATATAATATTGAAATTATCCTAGTTGGTGAATAAACTTGGCGATTAATCAAATTGCGTTTAATTATATAATAAACTTTCTCAACTTCTCCTTGATTAGTTGTATTTAGTTTATATATAGTGTCGATTGCATCAATGTAATTTCCAAACTCCGTGATGAATTGGTCGAAATTGTATTCAGTCATCACAAAGAATTTGTCAAAAAATATAATAAAATTATTTTATTATTATCTAGTAAACTATGCATCTTTGGATTCTATAAATACAGACTTAAATTAATTTAAGATTAATTAATCATTCAAAATACAAACATTCTTATCATTTATTTGGATCAAAAAATCTATTTAAAGTGATTTTAAGTGAAAAAGATGTTGTAATTATCAATATTAATAATGAACACATAAATATTAGAATAAAATGATGGCCAATGAGATGTATGATACTGCTGTAAATGTGTGTGCTTTGGTTTAAGCTTAATCTTTCATTGCTCTTTAAATCTGCCAAAACGAAGTTTACAATTTGTAAAGTTATTCCAAAATTTAGAGAACTGACATTTTTAGTTTTTCGTATGATTAGTAAAGGAGTTCTTATTTTGCGAAGGTAATGATAAATAAAAAAAATTGAGAGAATTACTATTTTAGGAGTTTAAAACAAATAATGATGCCATATTTTGTAATTTTTAAACAAGGCTTTTAATTCGCACTACAAAAGCAGCAACGGCAATTAGAAATGTAAGGACGTATAAGAATTTAACCCAAGTTGGAAGTCCATGGTGTTGATGCTTTTGAAATTTTTTCTTGTCTGGCATCTTGCCTTCATTTTTAAGAATTTGCTCGAGCTCTTTAGCTTCATTAATTTTTTCCTCGATCTGTGCACTTGTAATACGATCGCTATCGCTATCTACAGATTCCGTCATTTATTTTTTTATGAAAAAAATCAGCTTTCATTCAATTTTTTTTACTTTACATTTAGTCATTTTGATTATTCATTGATCAGGTCAAAGAATTTACTGTGCATGTGCATAGCTAAATTTTGCTGTCTTTTTTATGATTTGCTATTGTCTCACAACATTTTATTGCAAATCGGAAAACCAGCCTAGTAATCATATACACTATGCTCGCATTTATCAGTCTTGGTGTACTCGAACTTATACATTGAAATTTCAAAATCTCGCTTATTGCAATTAAAGAGATATTTCTATTTCCAATAATATTTTTGTAGTATGTGAACAAATGATTTTATCCTTTCCTTCCAGAAGCTCAAAAATTGCATGAGTTTTATCCGAGATTTTTTCTAAAATTTTAATTGAGAACACATTGAAAATATAGAATTCAAAATGTCAACACCTCAGAACATTGGCATTAAGGCAATTCAAGTCTATATTCCGAAAAGCTATGTTACACAAGATGATCTTGAAGATGCCGAAATTTCTATTCTTGGAGAAGAATTTCGTACAAAGATTAAAGGTAAATATACAAAGGGCCTTGGACAAACTACTCTTTCATTTTGCACAGACCATGAAGATACTGCATCTATAGCGATGAGTGCCGTTCAAAAGCTTTTTGACACTTATGGATACAAACCAACTGATTTTGGTCGTTTGGAAGTTGGTTCAGAAACATCAATTGATCGTTCAAAGTCTATCAAGTCATTTATTATGCAGTTATTTGAAGAAAACCATTCCATTTTAGGAGTTGATAATACAAACGCTTGCTATGGAGGAACTGCTGCATTTCTTAACTCGCTTGCATGGATAGAATCCTCACAATGGGATGGTAGACTTGCCCTTGTTGTTTGCAGTGATATTGCTGTTTATGATGACAGAGTTGCCCGTCCAACAGGTGGTTGTGGATCAGTTGCAATAGTTTTAGGCCCCGATGCACCAATAGTATTTGAAAAAGGCTCTTTAACTAACTATTTCATCAATAGTTATGATTTTTGCAAACCAAATCCATCAAATCCACATCCAATTGTTGATGGACCACTTTCTTTGATTATGTATTATGAATGCTTAGAGAATTGCTACATGCAACTCCGCTCTCGCCATCCTGGAACGACACTTGATAAATTTGATTTCATTGTTTTGCATACTCCATTCCAGAATCATATTAAGAAGTGCACAGGTCGACTTAACTTCTTAGATCAGCATCAGGATAACAATGATCCTGAAATAATTAAGACAAGAACTGAACATCAAACAGTTTCTCAACAATCACAAGCAGCTGCTAACATATTTAAAGGGAAAGTCCATCCAGCATCATTGTTATCTGAAATGTGTGGAAATGGATACACTGCTTCCCTTTATATGGCTTTAGCATCTTTAATTTTCAACCAAGATTTGATTGGAAAGAGACTTTTGATGTTTAGCTTTGGAAGTGGATCAGCGTCTTCAATGTATGCATTGAATGTTGTAGGAGATACCAAATTTATGAAAGATGCTTTGAATCTTCAAGAAAGATTAGATAACAGAGTACAAAGAAAGGTTTCTGATTATGATAATGATGTAAAACTTGCAGATAAAAGGTATTTGACCGCTCCTTATGAGCCAGAAGATAGTTTGGACTTAATTGAAAAAGGATCTTGGTATTTGGAGAAAATAGATGATAACTGGAAGCGTATCTATAGGATAAAAGAGTAAATTATTATTACGACATAAAATTGTTATAGAAATTCTAATAAATAAATAATATTATTAAAATTTACTTTTTAGCATTCGTTCAAATGACTATATTTTTGAAGAAATGATAATTTATTAGTTTTCTTGCTAAACCAACACAAATATGAAGATACAAAATTTGAAAATAACATTTCATTTCTCCCTGATAAGATGGATATTTCAGGAATGTATTTGATATAAGCCTATTCATACTCCAAATCTTGGAGTAAGATCAAATAAGTCGGATTTCAGAATTTCGGCCCAACCCGCCAAATTTCAATGCCATTACTTGATAAACGTGTTTGCTTCATGTAAAGGAATAACCACAATAGATGTGAATTATAATTTATCATTAGTCAATCTTCCGCTTTTTTATTTATTTGTCAATTGTAAAAAAATGGGTAATCAAATTGTATGCCCCTCCGATATGGGGTGGTATCAAGATGATTTAACAAAGCTTGACATACAGGTTGAGAACAGTATATACGATGGAACCTTTATGTTGAGCTTCAAAGCTTTTAATACAAAATTAAATAAAGACATTGCAGTGAAAGCGTTTCTAATACCCGAAGATGATAATGGTATACGAGATCAACAAGTTTTATCTGTAATAGAGAGTTCAAAACAAATTTTCGATAAATTAATTCGTCAAGAATATAAATTAAAAGGATGTCTCGTTGGAAATTATCATTTAGCAGATCGACAGGTATATCTTGTACGTCCTTATATTACTCATAGCCTCCAATCTCGAATGAATGATTATCCCGAACTAACAAACATCGAAAAAGACTGGATTGCATATCAGATTATTCGTGCCGTCCAAAATATTCATTCAAATGGATATATCCACGGCGATATTAAGCCAGAAAATATTTTATTAACTGATAGATTACAAGTTTTAATTACAGATTTCTCGCCTTACAAACCAAAATATTTAAGAAGATCGCAGCCTAACTATTTCCTCCATTATTTTAATTACAACGGCTCTTCTTCATATATTGCCCCAGAAAGAGTTGTAGAAAGCCTTCCGCAAACACCCGTTAGCTTGCAATGTGCAGATATATTCTCGCTTGGATGCGTACTCGCGTTTTTATACACCGGAGGAAGCACAATTTTCAATTTTACTACAATTCAAGATTATGCAAACGGAGACCTCACACCATTACAAGCTCTCGATAGAGTCAAAGATGAGAATAAAAGGAACTATATTAAAGAACTTATTCAACTCGATCCAAATTATCGTCTTCAAGCTTTCGGACAGGTCGATTCGTACTATCCTCCATGGTTTTCTAAGTTTTACGATGCATTTTACTCAAATTCTGTCGACACAGTTTTTATGGAAAAATTATTGCAAATTCACGACCAATTAGTCGATATTATACCACAAGATGACCCAGAAAGTGCATTAATTTACTTCAATATCCTTTCTGATGTTATTCTTTCATCAGGAAGAGCATTTTCTTTACTAACTTTGCTAAATCACTACGTTAACCTTACTACAACATACTTCGATACGCCAATGAAGCTTACCAGAGCTATTCCACCTTTATTTGAGATTTTCGAGAGAAAAATTACGATTGCTGGATTATTTGCTTTCAATGCCATCAACAGCATCCTCGAATCCATTGACAGCATCCCCCATGAATTCTCAAACTACCATACAGCGTTCTTGATTCCTCGTCTTTCTTCAGTTCTCAAAATTAGTTGGGCTTCCAGTTTCCTCTGCAACCTATCGTCGTGGGCAATATCAATGCAAAGACTATGGCCGACATTTTACGAGGATTTGCGAAGAGATGTTTCAATTTGCGAGTATTTATTTATGGTAAATTCAAGTATTATCCAGTCCAATGGCTCTAACGAATCAGACGTTGGATTTATCAGGGCATTTCTCAAGGAATGCTTGAGATCTGCTGAACAATGCGCAGATTTTCAGTTATTTTCCACACTTTCCTTCTTCTTTTTGCCACTTTTGACTACTGCGATATTCTTTTCTGACATTGTCGATGTAATTTACGCGTTTTACTGCAATTTTGACGCAAATTCAAAATTGAGATTTTATGATAATCTTCAAGACCCACTTTTCAACGCGATTTTCTCTCATGAACCAGATGAGAACAACACAGTTGTCCTTTTCACAGCCTATTTGAAGATTTTGAAGATGGAACCGCAACCATTTTACGTAAGTACGATTGCAACTCATTCCTTGGCATGGGTGAACCATCCAAACCCAGCGATATCGATTGCGGCCAAAATTGTTTCAGATAATTTGCCAATAATGTTCAGAAAATTAAATACGGCAAATTTAATTGTTCCGCTCGGTCCTCTTAAAATGTCGAACAATGCAGCACCTGTTAAGTCTCATTCCAAGCTAAATGCTCGCTCAATGACATTAAATCAGATATCTCAAATTCAAACACGTAAAATTCACTCAAAGAGTCAATGGGTAAATGGAAATAAGTCAATTACTGCCAGAGAAAGGTCCGATGCTGCTTACAGGCAAGATTCGAAGTCATTATTCATTGCATCGAAGAAATTAGACGTAATGAAGATAACTGATGTATTCTTTTCTAATGAAAACAATATATTAGCTAAAGTAGGCGATAGTTTGTTGGTTAGCGTTGAAGTTTCTAAAGGAAAAATCAACATTCTCCAAAATTTCCAACATTTTTGTCCGATTTCTACAATTGCAAGAGTTCATGATAATTCATATGTCTATGCTGATGCTGAAAACATATATTCTTACGATTGCGATCGCATGAAACTCATCAAAAAGACTTCAAACCAGATAAATGGAATGATTGCATTGAATTCCGATCAAATGGCACTTTTTTACAAAGATTCGAATTCTGTTGAATTTTTTGATATAAAAAGTGAGTCGTTGATACGAAAGATGACATGCAGTGAGTCATGTGTATCATCTGTTGCCACATTTGAAGACATTCCTTTCATTTTCACCACAGATTTACTTGGAAATGTAAATGTATTCGATACAAGAGTCGAACTGCCAGTTATGCACAAGCAAATCAATGGGGCATACAATATTATTCCTCTCTGCAAGGATACTCTTAAGTTTGCTGTTGTAGGAAACGAAATTGTTTCTGTCAGTTCAATGGAATCGGACAATTCCTTGGTCGACATCATCGGCAGCCACGGTGCTGTATGTAATGATGGTCAGGCAATCGTTATCTGCTCGTCAACAGGTACATACTACGTAAGTAGCGAAGATCCAAATAGCTCATACTCTTTGTTCGAAGGAGAGCAGCCTGTGAAGCTAAATTACAGCGATTTGACCAATTACATCACTCTTCCAAAGACTCTCAACAGATCTCTCCATAATCATTCGTTTTTGGTTGAATCTGTTGTTTCCAGGGATAATGTCGTCTGTTCTGGAGATATAAATGGCATTATGAATATTTGGTCTCCGAATTTTACGCTTGATTGATAATTATATTTTGTTTAATTTTATTTATGTTGTTTTTTATAAAAATTATATATTTCGTTTTTAATCTTCTAAGATTTGCCGCAGAGTTTGATAGAAAAGTTTGATCAAACTCTGTATTCACAACTGAGAATGGGAATATTTAGTGGGACAAAGAATCAATGATTTACTCAAGGCAAAATCAGCCAAGTCTACAAGATATATTACATTTTTCGACTCTGATTATCCTCTGTGATTTAAATTTAAATTTACCTGTAATGATTGCTTAAATTTTATGTATTTATGTTTAACTTATAATGGCGAATCTTGTATCTTATTTTGATGATTAACCCTTACATTTTATATTTTGAGAATAAGAAGATAAAAAACGCACATTTCAAGGTAATATAATGAGTTTAATACTCACAAGCCATATTTTCATATCTTTGTATGAAGTAACTCTATCATTTTGTCAATGTATTAACAAAATATATTAATCATGTTGACTTGCAGGATGCCATCAAGTTGACAGAAATTGAGAACATTTTCGTTATCGTCTAGCATTTTGACACCTCAGAAAAATATTTAAATAATTTTTACCACAGGTTGGAGGTCGCTTGAAAAACTGTTCATTTAAGTCTCCTTCCAATGATACATGGAAAGTTACCCCATACTCATGATAGTTGGAAGGATAGTAACATTAGCCCATCAGTAATAGAATCCGAACAGCACCGCCGAAAAATCAGAACTTCGTTTACAAAGACGGAAGATGAATTGCTTAGAAACCTTGTTAATAAGTATGGCGATTATGATTGGAATACGATCGCCGGACTTATTCCAGGTAAATCCCCAAGGCAATGCAGAGATAGATTCCGAAATTACCTATCACCAGAACTCGTTAATAGTGTATGGACCAAAGAAGAAGACAAAGAACTAATCATGCAGTATTCAATCCACGGTCCAAAATGGGCACTTTTAGTACAATATTTTCCGAAAAGATCTACTGCTAATATTAAGAACCGTTTTGCTACACTATTTAGGAGTACTGCTAAGAAGGTTCAAATGATTGTTCGAAAGAATGAACTAATTCAGAAAATAGACGAAAGTGTAAGGAATTCTATTCCGTCCTCACTGAACACTACACAAGATAAAGCGAAGGATGTAAATGAGATCAATGCTGAAGAATTAATGTCTGATGGATACGATAGCATTAATCAGATGACAGATTATGATCCATTTGATATGAACGTATTTGATATTTAATATCAGCTGATAAAAATTATTAGTTTTATTATATTATATGATTCCTTTTTTATTACCCACTCATTTTAAAAAAAATTAAATTAATAAATTTTATTTATGCAAGCTATTAAATTGTTTAAGCAAGAAAATCTGTTTCTTCATCTAGGTGTGCAATTTCGTTGGTCTGTTGAAGTTCTTTGTTTCTTTATCAAATGAGAGACTGATAAAGATGAAAATCTATTGTAACACCGAATGTTTGGTGCATCAAAAAGAGAACTTTCAAAGCGTTTCACGCTGCTGTTCATGGTTATTTTTGATAGAACTTTTTTGTGATGAAAATCAAACACGTTACTGGCAATAACAAACAAGATGATAGGATAAGCTTGCCAAGTTGGTTATCTGCATGGTATAAGCAGATATAAAGTTCATTCTTGCAGAATTGACACGTCAAATTATTGAAAATCTTGAGATGATATGATAGTCACTTTTTTGTAAAACAATAAGAGGAAAAATCGGAGAAAGAAAACCATTTGAGGCAATATTCAAATGGATAATATGGACATTTATATGTATAGAGTATAATTATTAAGCGAAAACATAATGTAAATGCGTGGTACAAAATAACGAACAAAAAAAAATAATAAAAGAATGAGTAGACCTGGAGCATCTACTGCTTCAAAAGATGAAATTAAACCAGCTCAAGTCTACGAGCTCAAGCTAAAGACTCAGCAGATTCAACAGCAAACAAGACAAATGCGTACTCAATTATCCCGCGCTCAAGATAAAATCGTTGCACAGACAAATGCAATCAATAAAACGTTCGAACAGAATTCAGACTCATCTAATGTCGTATCGAATCATGCAAACACAGTTCCGCAGCTTCAACGTTCTGTAGAGAGTGCGCAAAATACACTTGACGAGCTCAAAAAGGAAATTGAGCAAGCAAAGAAGGATGATAAGACTTTTGTTGTTCGTGAACTCCAGGAAGAAGACAAAATTATTTACTGCGAATATACAAGATTGAATCAATTAATCGAAGAAGGCAACAGTCAAGCACAAATGCTTAGCAACGCAAGAGAAAATGCAGAATACAGATGCTCACAGAAGAATTTCCAGAACTTACGCGCTCAAATCGGAGAACTTCAAGATTCAATTAATTCACTTCGTGATAAAACAAACGCATACAAATCTAAAACAGCTAAAATCGAAGCTGGTATTCGTTTCAATGATGAAACTGCACAGAAGAAGTCTGTTAATCAAATTAAGAAAGAATACAACGAAAAGATGCAAAAGATTAATGAGGATATTGAGAATTTAGATAAGCAACTTGGTACAGAAAAGGAGGATCACAGTAAGCAAGTTGCTGAACTTCAAGAAATTATTGATCAAATGCGTCAAAAAATTGTTAATAAATTACAAAATCCTGATAATGGCGAAGAAGAGGAGAAAGGAGAAAAGCAAAATCAGGAGGAAGAAGAAAAGAAGGAACAGTAAAATTATATTTTTATCTTTTTTTATTAACAAATGTTTTTTCTCACGTATGAATCTTTGAATCTGATCTTGCTACGAGCTCCTAATTAGTTCATAAATGCATAATATTAAGAAAAAAAATGATGAATTTAAATTTAGCATGAGATGTAGTAGTAATGTGCTAATCACAATAAATTAGTTTACATACAAATGATATTTATATAATTATGGGCTAGCTGACATGAAAATTCCATATATTTCAAAGATTGAATAGCATTTTCTTTCTAAAAATAAATATATTTTGCAATGAATTGGATTATTGAACTATTATTTGTGCACAGATAGAATGGGCATGATTATATGGGCCATATATAAAAGAAAACTTTTTGATTACGTTATTCATGGGTATAGTCCTGTAAAGGCGAAATATTTTATATAAAAACTAGTGAAAAATGTAATAATTAAACCGTAATATAACAAATATAATTTACTTTTTAATCATCAAAATAATGATGACAATTGCCGCACAAATAGTAAGAATACAAAGAATTGCAAGAACAGCAATCATTGCATTGAACTTCTTTGTTTCTTTATCAACTGGTTTTTTGTTATTACTGTCTGCGTCACCATCTGTTGCTTTATCACCTTTATTCTTTGAGGGATCTTGATAAATAGTAATAGGGAAACTAGTTTCATCTTTTTCGTTAGAACTAGAAACGCGAACAGAAACTTTTGCACTTGTTGCAGTTTCATTATTTGGAATTGTTACATATAATGGAATTCTGACAGAAGATCCATCATTCTTCCTTGTGACTTTATTTTGAACATCTGAATTATACAAAACAGAAACTGTGAAAGAAGATTCGTAAAGGCTATCTGGATCGAATACAACAGCTGTGAAACCAATAACTGATCCTGGTGTGTATGTCTTATCAAGTTTAGTATCTTCTATACTAACAGATATTTTTGTGTTTGATCTAACTTTGATCTCAAACTTGTATTTGTTTGTAGCTTTTCCATCATCAACTAAAAGTTTGCAATGATATAATCCTTCCTTTGTGTCTTCTGGTATCTTAAACGTGAATGTTTTGATATCATAATCATTTGTTACTTGTGTATACTCTTTCATAAGTTTGTCTTCCATGTACATGCGAACTGTAAGTGTTGCATCTCCTGAGTCTTGGTCAGATACAACTGCTTTGATGTTAAGATCAAATCCGGCAAGATAATAAGTGAATATCTTTTCAGAAATGGTGATAGATGGAATCTGGTTTCTATGGAATACTTGGAAGTCATGATTGTACTCTGCATATGTATTTCCGAAGTATGAGCGGATTCTTAAAATATAATTTCCTTGTTTGTCAAAATTAACACTCTTTTCAACTATGGTTGTATATAAACTGCCCAAATCTCCGTGCAAAAGTAGTTTCAGATTTGATTTGTCCAAAATGTCGTATCCTGCTGTAACAGACTTAAATAAATCTGTATGACGGAATTCTCCCTTTACTGTTGCCTTTTCATCTGTGAAATACTTCTCTTTTAATTCCTGTTTTTCAATTGTCAGTAAAGGTGGTCGATAATCACCTTTATAAAGCATGTATGAAAATGTACGTGATTCTCCAGCAATAAGCTCAACTTTTGTCCATGATGTAGACATAAATCCTAACCTATTGTTTGATGGTTCATCATCTGTGAAATATTTCATTCTATTGTTAGGGACTCCAGCACCAACTTCTTGGACGAATGTAACATTTGGATGATTTCTAAAAACCCATGTATATTTTTTACCATCATATGAAATGACTTTTCCAAGCTCTGTAACATCTTCATAACTTGGTAATGTCGTGTAATCAAAAATAAGTAGGGTGCAAAGATCATATCTTCTTAGATCAGATCCTGTGTTTTTGACAGTTTGATGAACAATTGTGAATTGTCCGTCAGGATCATTATAAAAGTCATAGCTATATGCTAAATTTGGATAATTCCGAACATCAACGACCAGATCCTGATGAACTCGATCGGCATCTCCTGAAGCTAACTTAGTATGAATTTATTTTGAGACAGAGAATTCATTACCATCCTTTGTGTCTTTGATAGCATATGTAAAATCATCAACTCTAACTGCTTTCAATGAAGCTGAGAGGTGAGAAAGGAGGAATAGCATAAAATTAATAATGAATTTTGACAGATCCTTTCAAATGGGACAAAATCAAATAATGAAAAATAGAGAAATATTATTATTGATGTTATAGGAGCTGTTCCAACTAACTATAATTTTGAATTTATTCAAATATTTGAATCGGGATAAAAATTGTGAACCTCAAATTTATGGTTTTTCCTTAAAATATGATTAAATTTGATTTGTGATCTTAATTTTTCTAAAATAAACTTTCTGACGATTTAATTTATCTTTTGATACAAATAAAACGATAGATAAATGTAAATATAACAATTTTAAATTGCTTTAAACAACAAATGTATTTTCATTGGCATATATGTTCTTCAAATGACAAAAATTTTACGCATTTATCTGATTAATGAGTGTCATCCTAATGAGATTTTTCTAATTTCATGATTTTAATATGTATTTGGTTAGATATCAGGTCATAAGGTCGTATAAGATCATTATCCAAATAAATGCTATAACCCCGATAAAATTATTACATTTCAACAGGAAAAACTAGTGCCTGTAAAATGATTATGTGTTATTTCGTTTATACTAATCGTATCTATTCATGATTATAGTTGCAATCTAAGAAATTCATTCAAATTATTATGATATAAATCTTATTGAGTCAAAGTATAAGAGATTTAAGAATTTATATGGTTTATATATATCTTAATGATTTTTTATATTAGAATTTTAACTAAGTTGTTTATTTCTTAACTATAAGATAAATAATACCCACTGTAATTACAACAATAGCAATAACCATAGCGACAAGTATTCCAATCAACATAGTACGATTCTTAGTGTTTGTTGATTGAACAGCATCGCCCTGTACAGCATTTTCATTTCCTGAAACTTCTTCTTTTGGTGGCGGAATTAAATTCAATGTAAATCCAATTGAATCCTTTTCGTTTGATGATTCAATAACGACTTCAACCTTTCCAGATACGGCTGTTGCATTACGAGGAATAGTAACAGCTAAAGGAATGCGCATTAAATCACCATCATTCTTCCTTGTTGTCTGTCCAACTTGGACTCCATCGAAGTAAATTGTAAGTGTAAATGTTGAGTCGTATTCAACATCTGGATCGAAAACGACAGCTGTGAATCCAATTGCTGCACCTGGTTTGTAACTGATATCAGTTTTAGCATCTTCATAACTGACTGAAAGCTTTGTGTTGCTCTTAACCTTTATATCGAATGTAAATTCTGCTGTATCCTTTCCATCATTTGCTGTCATTTTGATTTTATGTAAGCCTTCTTTAGTATCATCTGGTAATTTGAATGAGTATTGTTTAGCTTCATCATTGTTTGCGATTTCTTTGTATTCATTCATCATTTTGTCATCCAAGAATAACTGGACAAGGAACTTCTGGTCATCAGCATCTTGATCAGTGATCTTTGCCTTGATAACTACTTCTTTTCCTGGAATATAATATGTATAGATTTTATCAGCAATTTCTATCTTTGGTTTTGCATTCGGTGGAATAATTGTAATCTCAACAACATATTCGGCGAGATATCCTCCAAATGAAATTGCTTCGATATCAAGGTAATAAACACCTGGTGTTGAAGGAACATCAACTTCTTTGTCAAATGCTGCTTCCATTCCTGTCCATTCAGATGTATAACAATCAGCCAATAATTGACTATTGACAAATACATTATTATTTCCTTTTTCATAAATTGAATATTGTACAGCAATGTATGAGTCTTCATAAACATCAAAGATCTTTCCTTTAAGATGAAGTTTATCCGTTGTCAAATATTCCTTCAATATCAATGTCTTTTCAAGCTAGAAACGTGGTGGTGAATAATAGTCTTTCACTACCATATATGAGATAGTTCCAGATTCGCCTGCTTCGAGTGTATTATGTGTCCATGAAGTTGACATCCAATAGCATACTTTTTCAAAGTATGTTTCTGCTCCGAAATAAGTTGGTGTTACTGATTTACCAAATTCAACTTCTCCTGCATTTGTAGCATTTGGATGATTGAAAAGAACCCATGTATATGATTGGCCATATGGCATTTTGAATCTATAGCCCAAATCTTTTTCATATACATATTGTGCAAATGATCCGTAGCTTCTAATGTTGAATTTGATAAGCGTGCAAAGATCGAATCTTGCTCTTTCTGTTCCTGTGTTTTTAAGTGTTTGATGAAAAACTACATAATCGCCCTTTGGAGAATTTTGTATATCCAACGAATATTCTAGATTAGGATAGCCTTTTACATCCTTGACAATATTTTGATTCCTTGTATCAACATTATCAGGAGCAATTTTTGTTTCAATAACCTCGGAAAGGTCTATTTCTTCTCCATTAAATGTGTCCTTAATTTTATATTGGTAGTTATCAATCTTTTCTGCAACAAGGCTGTATGATAACTTGGAGAATAGGATAGGTAGCATTTTATTCCAAAAATATCTCTGACACCTGTTTCAAATTGAACAATTATTCAAAAAATGATTAATAAAAATGATTGTAAAATCTAAATAAACATAATGAATAAGTAGGCATTCTTAAAAAATTGTCAAAAGTGATATGATTGTATGAATACAAAAATGAGTAATATGTAGTATTATCGTTATTGTGTTATATTTTATCAAGCATTGTAATGAATAAAATTCTATGATCGTATCCAATATCCGTATCTTAATAAGGATAACAATATTTCTGCGTCTAAAATAAAATATAATTTGATAGTCTTTTTACTCTTTTCAATTTTGAAATAAAGTTTCCAATTGTGGGATTTATTGAATGCCAAAAGAACGTTGGTAAATGATTTATACAGCTAATGGTTCTGTGATATTTTCCTAAAGAAAAAATAATTTCGAGGTTTCAAAATCTTTAGTCCGTTCTAAAATAATATAAAAAAGAATTGCTACTCATTTTGATTGATTTTAATGCTAGAAAACACCAAAATTTTAATAAGTTTCAAGAATGACAATTTCAATTGAAATATTATGATAGTTTTCATATGTTGATGTACTATAGCATAGGCTATTAATATGTATAATAGTATAATTTTGATTCAAAAGCGTAATAATTTCTACAAAATATTTAAATATCCATTTTTCGTACTATTGATCCATCGGTGGCTTCTCTTTATTGAATTTTTGATGATGTGGAGAATATTCTGAATAAATATTAGGCGAACGAAAAGTTATAAAATCTAATCTAAAAAGGAGAAACTATTTTTATAGTGGGTACCATATCAATTAAATTATGTTAATTAGTGGTGCTGCGTGTTGATTCTCATGAGTCCAGCAATAAAGGTTAATTTATTCAAATATTAAGATTTCATAAATAACAATGTGTTTTGGAAGATGTAAGCTATTCCCATGAAAATTTACTTAACATATTATTTATGTTGTTAATTATTACCTTCACTAAATATCTTACAAAATTAGTCACATCTATTGTTTATTTTCAAATAAAAGTTTGTTGGATAAATAGGCACTAAGGTCTTTTTATATTCATGAGACTCTCAATTTTCTATTTTTACTTGTTATTTATGATTCATAATGAAGAGTCTTTTTTCCAACATTATGAGATTGAAAATCGATATGATTTAATGATGATAAGATTGATAAATTAATAGTGCTTTTATTCGCATTATATCTATATGAAGTGATAAACTGATTCCAATCTGTAAAAAAAATCTTTTTTTCCTTAAAATAAAGGAGGTAATTAAGTTAGTATATAACTCAATTCAATGATGTCCTTCTGTTTTGTAGACAATAGCAGAAGTACGATGAGGCAGAAAAAAAATTGATTAGAGATAGTTAGGATAGAAGAGTTTATTTATAATATTCATACAGTTGCATGTGCTCTGTAGTTGATGATCTCAGCAGGTTCAACCTTTCTTTCGCTGATAAGCTGGATTGTTGTGAGGAGTGGGGATTTCTCTGTTGCCTTTCTCTCAACAAGAATCTTGTAGACTTCAGCAGCAGCGAGTGTTCCCTGAAGCTTCTGGCCATTGAGGAGTTCAGCTTCGCACTCTTGGAATGTCTTGCCTGACTTAACAAAGTATTCAGCGCACTTTCTGTTTCTGCCACCATAAGATGATGCAACGATGTCGCCAAATCCGCATGATTCAATCATTGTGAGAATGTCGACACCTCTTTCTGGGAACATCATCTTAGCAAAGTCGAAGATCTCAACGAAGCCTTCACGAAGGATAGCAGCCTTTGTAGACTGACCCATGTTGAGGCCATCAACAATACCGCCACCAAGAGCAACGATGTTCTTCATTGTGCCGGAAAGTTGCTGTGTAACGATATCATTTGTGCAAGAGATCTTGAACTTTGGAGAATCGAAGAGTTGCTTCCATGTCTCACGCTCTGGGATATCTGGGAAAGCCAATGTTGATTCGCAGAAGTCTCCGCGAGCAATTTCGTTAGCGATGTTAGCGCCCATGAGAGAACCGCACTTGATGCCGATGATCTCTTCGACTGTATCTGTAAGTAATTGGATCTTTCCGTCCTTGAAGTTGATACCCTTTGTAAGAAGGCATCCTGTAGCTGTGTTCTTGACGTGTCCCTTCATCTTTTGGGGTGTAGCTGGGAGGAATTGATGTGGGACAACGAAGATGAAAAAATCTGCATCGCAGCACTCGACAACATCGCCGATTGCTTCGACATTCTCGCCAAGGTTGTAGCCTGGAAGATACTTAACGTTCTCGTGTGTTGTGTTGATTGTGTTGATCAATGATTCACCATTGACAATCTCTTCGAGAACCCACATCTTGATGTGTGTGTCCATTCCTTGAACATTCTTAATGTTAGCTGCGCAGTGTCTGGCGATGCAGCTTCCGAAGTTTCCTGAACCGATGATGCTTAACTTGTAAGGAATTTCTAAAAATGATGTGATAAATCTAAAAATTTTTGTTTGACAGGGATTGAAAGAGGCTTGAATTTTTTGAATACCCTAAAACCAAATTTATCTGAAAATTAGGAGAGCTTATTGAAAGCTTAGACATGCAATCAAAATTTTCATATGATTTTTGAAGAATAACACTAATATAAAATAATGAAAGATATTACTCAGAATTTAAAACCGTTGTTATTCGTAAACTGTCAAACGGTTATTTATATTCGTTTCTATAAAACTTAATAAATATGAATTTAACATCATCACTGAGGTGCCGAATATTTCTTTCAAAATTCTGAGATGTAAACATATGAAAAAAATCAATAGGAAAAATAAAAATTGAATAGTTATATTCGACTTTATTCAAGGTTTTCAGATTTGTTTTAACGATTTATTCAAAAAAACCGAATTTTGTCAACTAAATATATGAGAAAAACTATATAAATAAAATTAATTTCCTGTAATGTTATATTTCATCTATAGCTCATGAATATCATCTCATTTCGACCAAATCAATATCATCAAATAAAAGATCGTTGCTTGAATTAAAAAAAATTAACATGATTAAAAATTTTATTAATACAAAACAAATAATATTATCGTTTCCTTTTGAACTTGCCTAAGAACTTTGGACGAATGGTAGGTCTTGGTAGTCTTTCAATCAAAGTTATTTTTGCAAATCCATTTCAATCGTTATTTGACTTAGGTGGAAAGGTCTCATTTCCTGGAATTGTCTGGGCAATGATGCCATTATAGCTAGTAACACCTCCTATATATCCAGAGCCGCCACCACCCTGGCCTCCATATATTCCTTCAATTGTCAAACCGCCAAAATAACCGCCTCCACCACCGCCCGATGTTCCACCGCTTCTATATATTCCATTTTGGCCTAAGCCTTTTAAGTATCCGTTTGTTTGTGATGCAGGCATTCCTACAGTTTCTCTTCCTCTTGGTGGAGCAGCTTCTAATCCTCCACCAAATGCAGGAGGAAGAGTCTCTCCCCATCCGGTATCAAATCCATTTCCCCCTGCACCACCGGCAACTATAACTCGGCTATCCAATAAAGTGCTATTAATTCTCAAGTCTGTAGCACCACCTCCACCACTTCCTCGGTCTCCTGTTTCAGAATCATCACGGGCAGTGGTGCCTCCCCCGTTATAACCGCCGTGAGGAATAGTCGAAGAATCTTTTTTACTGCTTTCTCCTTGACCTCCAATAAAAACAAATACAGTCGAAGGATACTCTAATATCAATACTCCTTGCGAATAACCGCCTTGTCCGTTACTAGGCTTAAAGACTTCATTTGTATACGAAGATCCTCCATTTGCACCCCAAACTTCAACTTTATAAATTCCTGGGGCAAATAGAGATGAATAACATGTGCAATCATAAGAAGATTGGCAAGGATAATAAATTGATGTTTCTCTCGAATTTATTTCAAGATTAAGTGTCCCTTTTGATGGCTCTTGGAGTTTCCATACATTTTTCATATATAGTAGAACCACAAACATTACTATTCTAATATAAATCGGATAAGCAATAAAATAGCCTTAAAGAAGTGATCCCACTCACAAAAAATGTGATCTTAGCTTTCTCTTTATGGTTTTTAGAATTGGTATCTGATGTAGATATTAAATCCATAGTTAGTTTGCACTTCATCATTAACGTGCTTCATTCAATTTCACTCTTAAAATGTAAATTTTCTCACTTTTTTGTATTTGAAATCTGATGTTTAATAATATTTTTCAGGAAAAAAGCAAAAATAATTCTGGGGAGCACGCTATATTTGGTCGCATCACATTTACATTTTGATATGGAAATCGGAGATTGCATTGATATTAATGCAGATTTTAAACACATAATATGCAGTATACACGACATTGATTGAAAATAAACATGATAGCTTCCACAAAATCGTAGTAGATTCTGATCAAATTTCTCAAATCTCGTTATCAAAATCTGTGCAAAGGAATGATTTTGTTTTATAATTAAAATAATTTTCATGAATGCGTTTTATTATTAAGATTACAAGATTTAAAATGACTAGAATTCCATAAATATGAATTTGATTAAGCTGAACTCGAATCCAATCATATTATTTTGAATCAGACATACTTTACAACTACATAAATGTTACATTCTTAATAAGGAAAGCGAATATTGTGTATGATTTTCAAAAATCTAATTTAGAATTTGACTTCGATAAAAGAGAAGCGAACAATATTTATAGGTATATGCATAACTAGGTCTAGGTATTTTCCAGAATGAACAGATAAGCTAAGCTGCTAATATTGGAAGTGGGAGCACTTCTAGCCTTAAACTTTTTAAAAGATTACTACATAACAAGAAAATTTACACTTTTATTTCATTTTTGTACTTGCGGGAAGCTAATGATTATTTTTGATTCTAATGCCAAACAGCATTTTAATTTGCATTAATGCTATTATTTCTAATCATGTTGAGAAACTATGAAGGCACATTCAAAATTATTAACTCCAGGTCCGCATATATTATAGTCTCTAGATACGGATGCTAATTAACCTTTTTTCGTCCCATTTTGTTGTTTTCGCCTAGTGAATGTACCGTTTAAACTCTTAGCGTTGATAGAAACTTCATCGAATAAATCAGCCATGCTAAATATTGAGCAACTTTGATAAGAATCATTTGTGATTCTTGTCAAAGTTGAATCAAAGACAACAATTGATAGACAATTGTTGTCTTTGTGTACAACATTCACTTGAATTATAAACAATAACAAGTGTTTGTTGTTCACTGAGCAACTTTGATAAGAATCATTTGTGATTCTTGTCAAAGTTGAATCAAATTTTTATTTATTTCATGTATTTCTTTTTTAAGATCGATATTCCTATTATTATTCTACCGTTTATTAATAAAAATATTTCTTGCAAAACCTTAAAAATAAAATTTTGGATTCTTCCTTCTCATATACTATACCCTTAGTTAGTTAGTATACAAGTCATGGGTACGGCGGCACTGCGTTCCACCTTACCCAATACTTGTGAATTTGACACTTTACAAAGCCGCCAACCACTTCACTAACGAACTCACTAATGTAAAAAATAAACGTTCTCACTATCGTTCTCACTAACGACTTCACTAATGTTCTCATAAATTTTCCTCAATATCTTCATCATCAGTGTTAACCCTATTGTAGTCATACTTGAAGCCATAAACTTTCTCTAACTTCTTAACGTACAATTTACATAACTTACCTTCGTCATCGTATGGTTTAATGATATAACTATTTCTATCTTTATACACAGTCAATGAAAAGTCAACTGGTCTCGGATGTATTTGAAAGAACATGTTATGCTCAGGAAGGAAGAATAAATGTTTAAATGTATGTTTGTTATACTGTGGAATTCGAATGAGTTGCTTTTGTTCTGTCATTTACATCCAAATAAAAATTTTCAGTAAAATAAAAAAATAAACTTAAAAATTAATGATATCACCACCCTCACACGTATGAAAACATAGCACAAAAATAAATTTAGGTGAAGTGGTGAGATCTCACCTCTTTTTTCACCCTGTTGAATTCATTGCTTTATAACTCTCTTCCTTGGTTTCTTTTTAGTTGCTTTCTTCACGTCTGTCTCCAACTTGACTGTCTTTCTTCTTCGGCCGTAATGATACCAGTTACTTCCACCAGTCAATGGGTCAAATGGTCTTTCGTAAGGGTTTCCATACATTCCATAGGGACCATACGGAAGAACTACTGGTGGAGAAGAAACATTTTCTTTAGTTCCATCGACTCTATTTAAATGCATTGTTTCACCTTTCATCTGGTCATTAAAGTCTTTTGCGTGTTTTGCAAACTCATCGTCCTTTCCTAAAGCATTTTCTGACTCAGTCGCAACCAAATTGGATGCTTTATTTATGAGCCCTATTTTATTTAATCTTAACTTCTTTGCAACCCAGCCTCCAATCTTCCCTTTATTTGCATCTAATGTCTTCGAAACCCTTCCTCCACTCATTTTATTTACTGCGTCATAAGCTCCAAGTGCTTTTGCTCCAAATGCTAATGCTTTTGTTCCCATTGCGCCTAAAGCTGCCCAAGCTACCATTTACCCCATATTAAAATCATCTCTCTTCAATATTATCTCATAAAAGTTCTCGTTACTGGAGAAAGTCAATGAAACATAAACATTCTCACGTGCTTCGCCCTCACCGCTTTGCGGTCTATCTAACTTCTTTCTTATCTCATCTATTCTCAATAAAATGTCTGAACAATTGCTAACATCTTCTACAACAGTTATTTCATCATGAATGACCTTCAAGAACAAGCTCATTTAATATGCAATTAAAATCATCTCAATAATGAGTCCATCCTTTCCATCTTTAGGTAGCACAACATCTTTCATTGAAGAAGGTTCGACAAGTCTTATGTTAAACTTACTGACAAAGTTTGTTATACTATAATGCTTCGGCGGCGAATACATGTAGTTTGAAAGACATAATATAGATTCTTCAGCAAATTCACTTATACTGGATTTTATAACAATGTTCTCACGAGACCAAATACCACCAATTGACAATCTTGTAAGCAATCCTGCTGAACCTTCTACTGTAAACGTCGATGGTAACATTCCACGAAGGTCATCTATTGACATCGTTGAGTCACTGTATTTAAATATTTTCTTAAAGCAATCGTCATTATCTAACCATGCAATAGCTTTGAAGTTTTCATTCGAATATACATCTGCTTCATTAAATGTAAATCCTGACTTCTTTGCAGAGATGACTTTAAAATCTATTGAGTTTGTTTCAAAATTATATGCTATGGTAACTTCTGAAGGTAATGGATGTCCTTCCGCAGTCAGTTGTTCTCTCACTACCGTTTGAAGCTTTGTGTTAAAAACTTTCATGTCATCTCCTGTATCTAAGTTCACATATACAGCAACAGGAAAACTATCTTGCTTCTTTGTTTCATCATTATATTCTCAAAACATTAAAAGTTCTTCAATAATATTGTTCTTCCTGCTGGAATACTTCGAACCTGTCTGATTTCAATAGCTTTCTCACCTCCTACATACTCTACCCAGTGTCTTGGATATTCATAAGTATACTGACTTTCTTGAATTTTGGTTGGTTTCATCATAACATGTTCATAGTATATCTTTATACTCTTGTCAGTTAGACTCGGTGCTATGTTCTGAATATTTCTGACTTGCATTTTTTAATTATAATAAAATGAAGCATTTAATACATGATGTAGATGAAGACATGAATGAAACTACAGACAAACTTAACTCTTCTCTCATTCTTCCTTTCAGTAAGGACTATGAGTTCTGTTCAAATGGTGTGTATTTCTATTGTGGAAAGATGGGGTCAGGAAAGACATTCAACCTCATTCGTCATATACTCATAACAGAACGTTTAGGAAATGACTCATATTATGACCAAATCAATATCAGCAACTTCAGACTCTATGGACTCAACAGCGAAAACATTTATGTCAAAAGTTCAAGCCTCTGTCGTTTAAAGTTCCAGACAGTGAACTCATTGAATTTCTTCAACGTTACATTCGACGTAAGAGGAAATATTATGCCATCGTTGAATTTATACAGTCAGGAATGCAAAAGACTTCTGAGGAGATGGAAAGAATTATTGACAAACACCACTTACGTCAATACTCAGGAGTTTTACGATATGAAACGACTTACAAACTACATTCTGTCAAACTTTCAAAATACCCCTTCAAAAAATATCCATCAAACACTTTATTAGTTTGTGATGATTTCGCTGGTAAAGGTTTAGTGTCAAACCAGACTCACCATTAGCTAACATCATTACTAAAGTCAGACATTACCACTTAACTGTAGCAATACTTATGCAAACATGGAGGTTTTTAGCTTTAAACATAAAACGTCTCATAACTGACTTCGTTATCTTTCAAGGTTTCTCACGTTATGATATTGAACTCATTTGGAAACAGTCAGGTATAACATTACCTTTTGAAGAAATTTGGGAAGCATATAAGTCTCTTCATCTCTCCTCGTTCATACCTTGAGATTCATATCATGACTAATACCATTAAAGTCAAAAATATTCCATGGGAACGACCAACATTGTTTTAAAGTTTAACCTTCAATTGACTGATGGTAAACAAATTCCATGCATCTCTGTCGCCATTTCTGTTAATATTTTTGCTGTCATTCATATCATCCACTTCTCCATCCGTTAGCTTTTGAGGATATGCGTTAGAATAGCTGTTCTTAAATGAAGGCTTTTCACCTTTGAGAGCATAAACTCTATAACTTTCTGCATACTTTATGTTTGAACCTCCTGAGCCATCATTGACATAAATTTTATAGGCTTCCACCCTTTGTTCATGTTCCTGCTTCTTCCCTTAGCTCTTTTGTTCAGTAGTTCTACATCTTTATACACAGCACCTGTCTCAGTGAATTAAACAATATTTTCATTCGTTAGCTTTACATTCAAACCCTTGTCGAGTATATTGTTCATTTCATACATATAAAAGGTTTTTATTCTATATGAAATGAGAAGCAAATCCATCTTAGCTGGTGCCGTTAATGTTCCAATTGAACCAACATCAAATGTTGACTCACGAACGACAAACAATATTGTCATAAGAGAACTATAGTTCAGAGTGTTTGAAAGAAAAAGAACCAGAACTTAAGTCGGTGAATTTAAACTCAGCTTCAAACGCTAACGCTACATCAGATGTTAAGTTAGAGTATCCACCACTGGACCAAATTCTTTCAAGAGAAGCCAACGACAATCCTTACACAAATGTTCAAACAAATCCCTTCAGATAACGTAGACCATTACCTTCTTCAGTTATACAAACAAAATTTTACTCAAAGACGATAAGAAGCTTTTGACAAATCTTATAAGTAAGAACCAAATAATTCTAACAAAGGAGGACCTTGAAAATGTTATCTCACGAATAACAGGAAACAATGTGTCATTGACTATCTCGACCCTGAAATCGAATGCTGTGGTCAAACGCCATATTCATGAAAATAGGTAACATCCGCATCATTGAAACACCAGGAACTACAGGAGTTGAGTTTAAGTATAAATATTCGAACGAGTATACAAAACTATCTACTTACTATAAGCTTTGTTTGAAATATGTTTTAGTAAATTAAAGCAATTTGTAATATCTATCCAAAACTTCTTCAACAGTATCGAACTCATCTTCATAATGCAAACCTAATCTTATTGACTTGGTGCAGTTTTCACTAACACAATATTTTTCTGTTCTCTTGACTGACATAACTAACTCATCTGTTTCATCAAACAACAACAACCAAAGTTCATGACCTAATACATAACATTCATACTTTATATTTTTAGCTCTGAGTTCTCTTGTAAGCCGTCGCATTTAATATTTTCTAAAAAGTCAACTTCAACAGTCATTCGCACTGGTGCCTTCAGTTCTACAGGCTCTCCTTGAAAGTCAACAAGTCTGAATTGCATGTCTTTCAAATTATGAGGACTAATGCGAACCCATTTACCTAAATGAGTTGCTATGACAGGAACGTTTGGAATGAACATTGAATTGACTGCATAACAGAAGGATTTATATTCTACTGAACCTTTACTATTAACTCCTGAAATGCCTGTGACATTAGCTATTTTAGACTCAATGTACAAACAATTACCATAACATACGTATGGAACAGATTTCATCTCAATCGTTTTGTCAACACTTTTCAAAGGAAATGTCATATGGTATGCACCCAAAAGAAGTTGTACTCTATGACTCATTCTTGGTATCTTAAACTCTTTCGCATAACTGAACTTCAAAACTCCTGCAATAAGTTTAACATTCATTAAGTTTTCTTCGTTATCCTTGTTTATTGTAGTATTTATGAGAGCATTTAACACTCCAGCTAATGTTTCCATCTTATATTCTACATTATTGTGAAATCTTATTTCGTGCTTCTTTCCATCTATTTCAAGCTCCATGAAATCTGTTTCATCTGTTATAACGAATGAAGCGATAGTATTGAAGTCAACCATTCTGAATGCAAGCGCCTCATTCTGTAGACCTAAGTTTGTTTGTAGCTTTACTGTCCCGTATTCGTTTGGGTCTGTACTTTGCAAATAGAACAACATTTTATTCTCATTAAAATATGAGTATAGCTGCATATGCGTATGAAGCTGACAGAGCTAAACGTTTATATTTTGGTCAATACTCTCTCACACTTACTGACAAATATATTGTTATCACTGATGGAAATACTGAGAAATACATAACATGGAAGGACTATGAAAAGTTTGACCCTATTTTAACTCCATGTACTATGCCATTTATAAAGGACGGTGAAATTATTGAAAAAGATAATACAACCGTATATAGGTCTGTTTATGAAGCATTAGAATATATGTTGAATCATAACCCAAAAAGATTTGACCCAAGCACTACACCATGTGCAATGCCTTTTATTAAGGACGGTGAAATCGTAAGAGTTCCGGATTCAACGGTTTACACAGCTGTTCAAAACAGTTTACAAAACATTTTAGCGAATATCTTTAATTCAGAAACTACAGAAATAAAATTACCATATATAACAGATGCTAAAGAAATTAAATCAAAAACGACAACATTATTTACGTCACTTAATGATTTAATGACTTATATCATTAATATTCCTGCACCAACTACAGCATTTGATCCAAACTCGACGGTTTGCAGTGTACCTTTCATAAATGACAGTTCATTAATTGCTTTAAGGGATTCGACAGTAAATGAATCATTAAAGGCGTCATTAATGAAAATCATTGATTTTAACTCATTCACGAATACATATAATTCATTCATTAATGTTTCATATGCTTCTAAAGAAGGTGAGCCAAAAACTATCGATAAAGCGGTGTATGAAATAAAAGCATCAACGACGAAATTGAATTCGTTAACTTTTGACGGTGATAGTTTCGTTAATGACATAACATCGGGGAAAACAATTTTAACGAAAGAATACTTAAAATCTCATGTTAGTGAGTTCGTTGAAATTGAAAAAGAAGGTGGAATTAAGTTCGATCCACTGAATTTCATTTTCAGCTTAGCGAATGCGGGTGTTAGTTTCGCTGAATGGACAACTATACAGAGTGAAATAAATGCAATATGGACGTTTTTGGGGTCAAAAGCGGGAATGGGTGAGCTTGTAAATGCTGCAAGAACATTAGGTGAAACAGGAAATTTTGTAGATGGTTTTAAAAGACTTGTTTCAAATGTTTTAACAAACACAAAGAAATTATTTAGATATACCGTACATAACGGACGGATTTTCGAACAGATAGCAACAAACCCTCCGGTTATGGCTGCGTTGATGATGGTTAGAGATATAAAACCACGTAACGACGGGAACGAAGAACATGAACAACAGGATACTGGTCGGGTTATTCGAGACATTAAAAACGTGTATCCTGAAGTTATTGATTTATTTAGAGGAGTTAATGATTCAATTTCAAAACATTCTATAACCCTCGATGAAGAGAATAAATTAACAGATTATATATTCGTCATTATTGCAGAATTAATGAAGAGAATAAATGAAAAAGGAATTGGTGATATCATTAATGTCAGCGATGTAATGATGAAAAGAAATTTTGACTCATTATTTACAAAACCGAAAACAGAATATAGTCTTTATGACGTAATTACCGAATTAATGAAAAAGATTAATGATAATAAGAGTTCTGGCGGAAGAGTTGAATTAGAAGTGAATGATGTTAATGAGAAATTAGCCGAAAAAGCAGACAAAAATGAGCTTTTAGCTCTGAGTGATAAAGTCAAGAACCACGTTCATTATATAACTTCAGACGAACAGATTATAACGGACTACCATGGATATTTAACACGAAGTGATGAAGCGAAGACAAAAAATGTTAATGAAAGAAGATATAAATACATTCGTGCTAAAGGTTATGACATAAGCTGTACTGTACAGTATGATGTAGCTAAAGCACCAGAAGCATTTGGTTATACCGGTGAAATTTATGCCTCTACTTTCAATGTTAACGGTGTATTAGTTGAACCAAGATTTACTTTGAGAGTTAAGGCAAAAATAACGTTTGAAGATGCTATTAAAAGTAAAGCTGACAAAGTTGAACTCGAAGCAATGAACAAAGTTTTGAAATCTCATAAACACAACATCTCCGATATAAATGAACTTCAAGCTACATTAGACAGTAAAGCTGACAAGAACCATACAAACGAATCCTTCACTACTGTTAGAGCAGACGACATAATATTGAACTATAACCTTGGTTCAAGTGCACCTTTAGAGAATCCAAGTACAAGCGTAAAAGATACACTAAACAATTTAGATAACAGTTGCAGGAATATCGAAGATCATGCCAGAAACTTTGAAGCATATGAACTACCAGCAATGTTAGATAAGAAAGCTGACAAAACTTATGTAGATGAAAATTATGCAAAGAAGTCGGAAGTAAATGCTGCGCTTAATGGAAAAGCCGACAAGAACCATACACATGAAGAATTTCAAACAATCAAGATTAAAGAAATTAAAGCATGCATCGAAATAGTAACAAAAACGGGAAGAAACGGTGCAACTGTACAAGAACAAAGAATTTATCCTCCTACTTTTCCTAATGGTTTAATAACAAACAATATAAATATTGAAGATGGCAATAAAGTTATAAACGTTAAACATGAACTTCAAACAATGAAGGCTCAGATTCTTCAAACATTATATCCTGTTGGTTCTATTTATACGTCAATGAACTCAACAAATCCAGCAACAGTTCTGGGTTTTGGTACATGGCAGCAGATTGTAGACAAATTCTTATACTGTGCTAACTCTTCAAAGCAAACAGGAGGTTCGAAGAAAATTACTGAAGCAAACCTTCCACCGCACACTCATACAGGAACTACAAACTTTTCTGGCGACCATAGCCACTCATTAAGAGACCACCCATTATACAACTCAGAGTATGAAGCTGGCAATGATGTTTTATCTCCATCTTATAACAATGCAGCAAAAAAGACTTTTCGACAAACTGAACCGGAGGAAATCATGTCCATACTTTCACAACAAATCCAACAGGCTCGGGTGCAGATTATATGCCACCATTTGTGACTATATTCGCATGGTACGCGTCTTGAATAATAAAATCTTTAACTTTACATAAATGAGCTTGAAAGAAGTATTCGAACAACATCCATGGAGGTCATTTAAGAAGTTCAATGAAGCAGCAAAAAGTTGGGGATTTACTAACAGAGCTGAAGTGAAAAAGTTCTTTGACAAAAATGTTGTACATCAAACAAAAATAAACCCTTACGACTACTTTTTACCAATTTACTCCAACACTCCTGACGCATACCAATTTGACACTCTCATTCAAAGCAGAAAAGGAGGACATAAACCATTCCTCATCTTCATTAATGTTAACACTCGTAAAGCATATGCATATCCAATGAGGAACAAAGGAACTCGTGAAGTGTTAAGAGTTTTACAAAAGTTTGTAGCAGAACATAGCCCAAGTACTTTAACATCAGACCAAGACAGTGCATACCTCAGCAATGAAATCACAGATTTTCTCATTAAGCATAACATAACTCACTACACTACTGAAGACCATAACCATAACATACTCGGCATCATAAACCGCTTCATAAGAACGCTCAGAGATTTAAACCAAGAGCGAGACTTTACCGAAGAAACAATGAAACATTTTCTCGAAGTATATAATTCCTCAACACATTCTACAACAGGACATACACCAAATTCAATGACACAACAACAAGAAGAAAAGTATATACAAAAGAAACGAAGTCAAACACAAAATATCAGAAATTCAACACAATTTACCCTCATTCCTGGTACAAAAGTTCGTGTAGTTCTTGACGACAAACCATTGACAAAGAAACGTTTAAGGTTAAGTAGAAACTATTATATCGTAGACTCTACGCAAGGTAATGGATATCTTATAAAAGCTGCTGACGACTCCATAGCGTTTTACCCTCGTCATAAATTAGTCGAAAGTAGTAATGGCAAACTTGCTGAAACCATTGACGAAGCAAAGCGAGGAGTGGTTATTGAAATACTTGGCTATAACATAAACGATGACACTTATAATGTAAGATATGAAGGAGGCGTTGAAGATGTTATACCATCTAAGAACTTGAGAGAGTCGAAGCCAACACATCTGGGACCATTAGAGCGGGAGTACTGGAAAGACAAAAATAAGCCAGAAAGAATAAGAAAATTCTTCTAAACTTTTTCATTAGATGTAAATCAGACATGAATGAGAACAGTCAGGTATTATTAATGGTACCATTTATTTTTGTCATAAATTTACACCAAAAATATATTTTAGGTGAAGAGGTGAGATCTCACCCGTTTTTTCACCTCTTTTTTCACCCTCATGAATTTTCATGAATTTCCTTAAGATAGAAAAAATAAAGTTAGTTTTATTTTTATTTATTTTTTTATTTTGTATAAAAGATATGATTTCAACAATCGGCACAACAACAATTCAAGCCACAACTACAGCACCAAACTCGCTAGTCATGAATCCTACGTCAATGTTGGTAGAGATGAAAAACTTCATTCCTTCTTCATATACTTTCGAAACAAAAATCCAGAAGGTAAAGCAAGAACTGTTAACAAGTAATTTAGACTGTACCGCACAGGATGAAGAAAATGAAGAATATCTTTATGACATGCAGGACCTCATCGACCATTTACCCAAATTGCCTGAAATCCAACAGCAAAAACTAACTATTCCTGAATTCGACGAAATAGAAGTGAAACCAACTGACTCGGTAGAAATAAAGAAGTTCATACGAAAGGTAAACTATGAGTTTCTAGGATATCATTGCAACCATAAAGTTATGGACAAAGATTGCGACATGGTTTATAAAAATATTTCTGACCTTTACAAATCCGAAGAATTTAAGACATACGATAACTTTGTTTCATTAGTTGCAAAATGTGTATGGCAGATAAGAGATAAAGATAGAAGAGGTAAGGTATGGAATGAACAGATAAAACCAGCAGCTTTTGAGTTAAAGAAAACCATTGACGCCTTAGTTGTACTAGCTGGTTTTATTTCAATGTATAACGCAAAAATGATGCCGCAATGTTCAAAATGTAAAGCAGCAATAAGAAAATATAACTACTCAGTCAAAGAGATAGAAAGAATGCGAAACGACTATGCAGACTTAAAGAAAGAAGCAGAAAAGCCAGCAGAAGATAAAATGGATATGTTGACATTTCTGAACAAAAACTATCCAACTGCAGAAGATTTCCTTCTGTCTGACGTCAAGAAGAAATATAAAGAGACTTTCGGCATGATTAAAACATTCGATGTACTAAAAGAAGAAATTGAAGCTACGAAATTGTTTAGGATTTCAAATATACATCGTACAATTCATGTAAAACGCTTGTGAAAAAAGAGGTGAAAAAAGAGGTGAAAAAACGGGTGAGAAAACGGGTGAGATCTCACCTCTTCACCTAAAAATTATTTTTATTGAATTTAGCACAAAAATAATGAATTTCATTAGTTAGAAAAATAACGCTAATTTTATTTTTATTTATTTTTTTATTTTGTATGTAAAGACAGTAATGACAAACATTGAGTTTGAAACAGTTAGAAAGATAGACAATGACACCAAAGTGGTTAGAATAGGTGATTTAAACGTAAGATACTCAAAGAAATACAACAAATATTCTTTGTCAGACATTATATCTCTATCTGGAAAGAAAACAAACGACTGGGTTAGAAATGCTTCAACTCAGAAAATTTTGACAAGAAATCCTGAGCTTATGATATCAGTAGCATTTCATGGAACAAGAGCATATCTTATAGACAAAAGTCTTATACCAATAGTTTTGTTATGGTTAGACCCAGTTGTTGGATATAACTTCATAACATATGGTTCATTCGATACGGAACGTTGCAGTGAAGGCTTACTTTACATCGTTCAGAAACCGAAGGACTTCAACACAAAAAGATATAAGATAGGAAGGACATATAATATAACTCAAAGATATGACAGTACAGTCAATAGAGTCAAGGTTGTGTTTCGTTAATGATATGAGAGCTGCTGAAACAGAACTACTTGAAGTTTGAGAAAATGTATGGTGCTCCCAAAAGGTAAAGAAACGTTTGAAGTAGATGAGATAGATAAAGCTATAAAATTATTTGACGAAGTTGCTGAAAAATACATGTAAAGCGTTTATTTTTTGGTCTTTTGTGAAAGTCAGAAAATAAAGTTAGTTTTTTATAAAATATTTTTTTTATCGTATAAAGACAGTAATGTCAACATCAGAGAACACAACAACTGCTATCGTTCATGAAGCCATAAATGAAGAATACGAATACATACAGTATAACAAACAATTGAGACTCATTCGTTCAGTCAAAGATGACATGTACCAAATGCAAAGTATAATGAATGCTCTTCGTTCTACAAAGCAAGCATATCATTGGTTTGAAAACCAACAGACAAAAGAACTTTTAGAAGAATTTCCTCATATGATTGCTTCCCTCGGAAAACCGAGAGAAGAGATTCCGTATGAAAATCGCAAGAATTTGGCTCCTGGTTTGAAAGGTTATTATGTTCATAGACTTTTAGTAAACGCTGTAGCAATGTGGGCTTCACCTCGTTATGCTTGTTATATTTTCATGATGTTAGATGAACTATATAAAGCAGAACGCGGAGAGATGGAAAAGAAACTTCAAGCAAAAGATGAAGTCATTGAATCCAAAGACAAAAGCATACAGAAAAGAATACCGCGTTCAGTACCAAAAGGAAAAGAAAAGAGTTATAGGTATATGATATATACTGAAGAATTGGAGAAAGAAGAAGATAAAGATATGGTTATGTTGCATTTAGTCAGAAGAAACAACAAGAGCTTTTATGACTTAGCTAAAATATATAAATCTGACAGAAACTGGTTCTATCGTGAAAACTTACCGATTTCAATGACTCCGAATGAGCAAATAAAGGAAATTGTCAAAAATACTCTTCCTCAAACACACTATGACATCAAAGGTTGCACAATACTTACATTCAAAGAAGACTTAACATTACTGAAGGAAAAAATAACAGAATATTTCGATAACTTCAAAGAGGAAGAATGAAGTCACGGCAACATTAACGAAGAAGTCACGACAACATTAACGAAAAGAGAATGAGGTGAAAAAAGAGGTGAAAAAACGGGTGAGATCTCACCTCTTCACCTAAAATATATTTTTGTGCTATATTTACACTCATTTACGAAGAAGTCATGAATCCTACGTCAATTATGTTCGACACTGATAACATAAACGATAACATTAACGATAACATTAACGATAACATAAACGATAACATTAACGATAACATAAATGCTCCATGTCAATTATGTTCGACACTGATAACATTAACGATAACATAAACGATAACATTAACGATAACATTCATTTTTGCATTAATCCTGCTGTGTTGTCAAAATGTCATGTTGTCATCATTTTTAAAAGAAGTTAATTAACCTGGTGACACATGGTGACGTGGTGACACTTTCAGTTATTCAAAAATATATTTTTGCTTAAATAGCTTCAGGGTCTATTTCTTCAACCATTTCACTTCCTTCGTCAATGTCAATAGAAGCTTCTTCAACCTTTGGTAAGAATTTCTGTATAACATCTTTGTTCGTTATTGTCTTCAGAGATGAAGGATAATATTTCACATTTATTTCACCCTTCTTATATTCTTTCTGTTCGGAAAGATTCATAGCAATACTGAAGAAGTCAATATTAGAGTTCTTTATGACAGTATAATGAGTATCTTTGACATTCACGAAGAAACTCTTTTGTTTCAAAACTACTGCTAACTCTTGTGAAGTATAACGTTTGCGGTCAATGACAATAGCTAATGGTCTGACATACTGACCAAACTTAGATTCTTTCACAAACTTCTTGTTAAAGATAACATTAACATTTGAAGCATTATTGAACTCATTCTTGATGGCAGTAGCGAGAGCATTGTATGAAAAGAACTTGCAATCTTGCATGTGTTTCATTATAATAAAAATATTAAATTATTTTGAAAAATAACTTTAAAAAATCTAATCTAATTTTTTCAAAAAATATTTTTTTTTATTTCCTACTAAAGATGTATCGGAAGTTGTCTAAGTTAGAACACTCGGAAATAAAACAACTTCTTACAGAAGCTAACATAGAAGTAGCAAAGCATTACGCAACAAACAAAAAAGCACTCGCTGACATCCTCAATGACTACAATGGTGAAATAACTTATGATAGAATTCATGAGTTCATAAAGCCGCAACGCGGCGAGGACGAAGTCCATGCAAGAGCATTTCCTTTAAATGACGTTGCTATTGACTTATATCATAGACGTTCAGTACCTCATGAAGTAAGAAGAGAAATGTTTGACATAACAAATGCGAACGTTGGTCATACTCGTAAAGCTCTTTCGCATGATGTTCGTCAAGAGATGTTTGACATAACAAATGCAAACGTTGGTGAAACACGAAAGAGAGACGACACACTGAAACAACAGAGAAGAGAGATGTTTAAGAGCGCTATAGAACAAGTTCGCAAAGCTAACGATGTCATTCGTTCCATTGACGACAAACCAAAAGAAGGTGAGAGATGGTTAAAGAAAGATGAAGAGAATAGGAAGAGAAATGTGAAGTCAGGCAATAGACTCATTGACTTTAACATCGAAGCTTTAGATGAACCAAACAGAGACTACTTACACAAACATTTCGGTAAGGTTTTCATGAGACTCTTAGAGAAGATTAAAATAAACTCCCAACAAAGATGGATGGTATGTTATAAACTTGGTGGAAAGTATGAATGTTCTACGTTAAACCTCAATAATATTGGAACATTACTACATCAGCTCTTGAAGGAGAACTTTATATCAGAGATAGAAGCAAATGCTGCAGGTATTGTTGAAATGCACTATGACTTCTTCTTGACAAACATAAAGAATCTTACTGAAATAAAGATGTATGATTTAACAGAATATGAAGGCTTAACGATGTCAGATGTAAAGAAAGGCAAACCAAAAAAGAGACCATATAGAGATGAAAGCACACTGACAGAAAGACAGAAAAGATTATTGAACAGACTTAAACAAACAGGAGATAAACAAGATATAGATGACTTCTGGAATGAAATCCTTGGTGAAAAGAAGTTTTATAAGAAGAGAAGCGGTCAGTTCTGGAAGTATCTTTGCACATTACCTATAAATCTTGAGCGCTACCAAATCTTCAATGAATTGAACAAAAGAACTGCAGCACTTATGACAGAAGACAATTGTTTCGTTTATGCTTGCATTCAGGCTGAAGTAGATGAAGAAACTATTGACCACATGAGAGAAGTCATTCGTGTTAGAGACTTTCCTCAAAGTAAAGTACAAGAAATTTCTGACGCAACAGGTATAGCATTTAATGTTACCATTGGTTACTTCAATGACTCAAGACATAATGAAATAAAGAGATACATACCAAAAGAATGTGAAACTGCTCGAACTATTGACTTACTTCTTGTTGAAGACCACTACATGCTAAATGAAAGATTACCAATGACAACATATTTCATTCGAAAACTAATAGAAATCTTGAAGGAGTGTGGTGGAATGAACATTGAGAAACAGATGAAGATTTATACAAAGAGAGAGTAAATACATTAGTTCGCATGGATAGAACTACACCGCTATGGGATGTTATGAAAACATTGTGGGAGTGCAAATATTTCGAACCTATTTCTTATGGAGAACTTTTCACATATACGACTGACTTATATAAACAGAACCTTGCACCATTTAAAGATTTGACATATGCTCCAAAGTATTGTGTACAACTGAAGAAGAAAGCCGAGTCAAAAGAAGTAAATAAAAATAAGTGCAAGTTCATTCCTGAGCACGTTTTCTTTGCTGACTTTGAGTGTAGTACGATGGCTTTCATAAAGCTTTTAACATCTGTTATGACAGTGAAGATGGTTCAGTGAGTGAAAGCATTTGGGGTCAGAACTGTGCAACAGAATTTTTGGAGCGACTTCCTGACAAGAGTTTAATATATTTCCATAACCTCAGTTATGATATAAACTTCATCTTAAGACACATGACAGAAGTGAAAGGAACTCCCATCATTAAAGGTTCACGAACAATGCAAATAACTGGCTTATATAAAGGAAGGGCAATTATTATAAAAGACTCTTACAGTGTTATAAATAAGAAACTTAAACTATTTCCTGCTATGTTTAACTTACAAACAGGACCGAAAGAAGTATTTCCATACAACTACTACAGCAGTGTTTTGTTAGCAAATGACAACAGAACTGGTGTCATTTCTGAAGCATGTAAGTTTGTAAAAGATATTGAAACGTTCATGAAGAACATAGATTCCATCAAAGGTTGCAGAATAGATGAGAACCACTTCGACTTAGAAAAATATAGCACGTTTTATTGCAAACAAGATGTAAGAATTTTAAGAGAAGGTTTTGTTAAGTTCCGCAATGACATATTGAATTTGATTTAAACGTTTATGACTACGTTAGTATTTGTTCAATTGCTAACAAATTATTTGAGAACAGAGTGTACTTCCCGAATGGAAATCTTTATGACCTCTCAAATAAACCAAGAGAATTTATTTCGAGATGCATTCAAGGTGGAAGATGTATGTTGTCAGATAACATGAAACAAAAGAGCAAAAAGAAACTCATTGCTGACTTCGACGCTGTTTCATTATATCCATCAGCTATAGCAAGATTGTATACTTTAGAAGGAATTCCAAAAGTATTGAAGGATGAGATGCTAAGCACAGAGTATCTCATGAGACATTTATTCGATGACGACCAAAAGGAACCCATTGGTGAAAAGTTTATGTCCGGCTTCTTTGTTCTCATTAAGATAACAGAGATTGGAATACATAGACACTTTCCTTTAATAGTTTGTGACCCTGAACTAAATCCAGAACTTAACGTTCCCAGAAGTTCAAACACTTGCTGTCTCATGTATGTTGACCATATAACATTACAAGACCTCATAAAATATCAAGGTGTCAAATGTGAAGTGTTGCAAGGATACTATTACGATGGAAACAGAGATATTAGAATAAGAGATGAAGTAAAGAAGTTGTTTGAGTTAAGGTTAAAGTATAAGAAAGAAGGAAATCCTTTGCAAGAAAATATAAAGCTCATTCTGAACAGTATTTATGGCAAAACTATTCTATCTCCTATTGAGTCAAAAATAACCATAGTAAATGACAAAGATGCTATAAGATATGCCATCAGAAACTACAACCATATAGTGAAGTTCGAAGGTTTGGATGGTTCAGATAAAACTATTTTCAAGCTAACGAAAAGCATTTGCAGACACTTTAACTTCTGTCCACTTGGTGTTAACATTCTATCTATGTCGAAGAGAATAATGTGTGAAGTATTCTGTACTGCTGAAGACTTAGGAATGGACATCTTTTATAGCGACACCGACAGTATGCATCTCTACAATGAAGATATCCCTCGTTTAGCTGAAGAGTTTGAGAAACGTTATGGAAGAGTTCTCATTGGTAAAAACCTTGGTCAGTTTCATAGTGACTTCGCAGAAATAACACCTGGAAAACAAAGTTTAGCATACAAGTCAATATTTTGTGGAAAGAAGACTTACATAGACTTACTCACGAATGATTTAAATGAAGTTGCATTTCACTGCAGAATGAAAGGCGTGAAGCAAGATGTTATTGCTTTAACCGCTAATGAAATGTTTCCTGACTCTGTTCAGTGTTTCTATGATGAAGATAAAGGTTTAATGGTTCCGCAAGGAAAATTTGACAAAGACTCTGAGTTCAGTGTTATGAAGTTATATAAAGCACTTTATGACGGTCAAGAGATTGGATTTGACTTATGTAAGTCATGTCAACCTTGCTTTGAAGAGAAGTTTAACTTCTCAATAACGACTAAAACAAGCTTTATTCGTAAGTTGAAGTTCTGAGGTCATTTATTTTTGTCAGCAATGAGGTCATGAATGAGGTCATGAATGAGGTCATGAATGAGGTCATGAATGAGGTCATTTATTTTTGTCAGCAATGAGGTCATTCGTGATAAAAATAAAGCTAGTGTAGATTTTACAATACAGCCATTGTAGAATTTAAGAGTTGTGCTTCAATGTAGAGACAGTCCTTATGGTCTGGAGGTAAGAACACTGGGCAGTTATGGTCATGAGTGGAGAACATGTCTATCCAAAACTCACGATTGAAGCCAGTTAATTTATAGTATTTAGGGTTAGGAAGTGGTGAAGTTCTTGTATGACCAATGAACTCATTTTCAACTCCCTTACTTAAGTTTGAATATAATATAGCTTGCTTTCTATCCCAAATGCCAGGTGTTACAATCTTTGAAAATTCATTTTTCCTCGGAAGCATTGCATCATAATTGAAAACATTCTTGAAATCATCACTTGGTTCAGAGATTTGAAATCTTATACGTAATGGATTTTCTTTCTTTTTAGCGACTTCATTGAATGGTGAGAATACAACAAACTGACAGTCATGTTCCATCTTCATTTTCATTAAATTCATAATGAAAGTCTATAAGTTGTGGCTGACTACCTTCTTCTTTCAGTTGTGCAAGAAACTCACGTAAAGGCTGTAAAGTTTGTACTTCAATGTTGAACTTTTTCTCGAACATATCATTAAATGAAATCATACATTGTTGCAATGTTGTATCGTCTTTAAAGTATTTGTATATGTGAATGTTTTGGGCGCTTAAAGACTGTTCGTCATTTTCTATCTCGACTTGAAGTATAAAGTCAACCTTTCTGAAAGCACGTGTTATATACATAGATGTTATGCCAATGTACTTCTCTTCATTTATGTTCACAATCCAGTCTGTTGGAAACTTAAACGTTACTCTGTTCCCCTTTATTTTGACGTCAGGGTTTTCACTACTGAACGCAACAGATAAAGGTATTTGTCTATACATTTAATTCTGATAAAAATAAACCATTTACTCTTTCTTTGCTTCAGCTTCTTTAGCTTTTGCTTCAGCTTCTTCTCTAGCTTTCTTCGCCAGCAAACGTGGGTTCTTCTGTCTTCCAGCAGCTAATGCAGCAAGTTGTTTTTCACTAAGTTTTCTCTTTGGTCTCTCTGGATTTTGTTCTTGTTTTTGTTCCTTCAGTTCGGATAAAATTTGCTCACGAATTTCTTTCTTCAATGCTTCAACATCTATGACCCCTTGGGTCTTGTCCGTAGGGCTTGTCTGAGTCATTTGACTGCAGATAAAAAACAAAATTAAAACTTTAACCGATGTAAAATGAGCTTGTCAAAATCAGAGCGAGAGTCTATTATATTAAATGACGCAAGAGGAATACAACATCCTTTCTATTACGTAAGTCAGAGTAAAGATGGTAAAATATACGTAAGAAAAAGAAAGGTTCCATTAGCGAATGCAGAGAGCGACAACATTAAGGTGTATGGCAAGGGTGAAGCCCATTAAGCCTTCTATTCAAACTGAAAAGTCAATAGAACCAGAAGAAAAGAAGCCAGATGTACTTTCAATAACGAACCAAGAGCTTATTGCAAAGTTCG